TACCCAACATTGCGCGAGACATGCATGTATAACCGAGTTCTAGAAATTTGTCGATGCCGTATAGGACAAGGTAGATCACTTGATTAGAGGAGCAGAACGGAACGCTGTCGATGCTGGTTCAAACGGCCCGTGTCGTAAATTTTGTAATAATGTATATAGGTTAAAAATGATATTAGTTCGTCCGAGTGGCCGCTTAACTGTTAATAAAAGCGATCCGTAAAACGGACACAAATATGTGTTCTTCTTTACCACGTGTAAAGCATACATAGGATTTGACATTTTATGTATTCTCTCTGATTTTATTAAAAAGATATCCGTTTTTTTTCCATGTATTTTGGACTATTTTATTGTTGATAATATATTGAATGAAATGCCAATGACTCAAAAATTAGAGTAAGTAAAGTTGTATTAGCACCAAACAGGCCCTGAACTCAATTTTAATGGCCTTTGCTTTGATGTAGATACACGTACAAATATTTTTTTCCACCAATTGAATTTATTTCTAAAAATATTCGAAATATTTTATAACTTAGCTCATTAAATCACACTTAACGAATGATCGATGATGAATATAATCGAAAGTGTATTAGTAAATTCGGATTTATTACAATCAATCGAAAATCGATTTTTTTTAAATTATTTTCGATTAAATAAAATACTTTAACGGTTTAAAACGCGAAATATTTTAGTTAAACTTATTTGAAAATTATTTTTTACCACGACCCGACGTTTTAATAATAAACGCAATCGTCAGGCCGTAGTTAAAATAATTTTTAACAAAATTTACTTAAATTCTACTCGCATACACTACAGACAGTATTTATTTTCGATTTTTAATTAAAGCACCATCATACGCGATAAAGTGTAAAAAAAATTAAAGTTTTCAGACGGTTAAAAATGTTTAATTGTTGTGTTTTGTTGTGTTTCACTATTGAAATTAATTTACAACGCGATATAATTTTATTTTTATATATATCGCGTTTTAAACCCTTACAGTGTTTTATTTAAAAGTTACTTTATTCGACGTAAAGTAGTTAATGTTCTATAGATAGATTTAAAAGAATTCCCAATTTAAATTCAAATGACAGGTTGTCATTAGTAATTCTGGTATTTCACATAGTTCGTCAGACTAGCCGGTTCCACAAGGCGACCTCCGCGAATCTATAAACACGCTTTGGAGCTATTTGTGCTCTAAAGTAGGTACCCCTTTACAAATATGCCGTTCTGTGTTTCGTTTTATTTGCTACTTTGTTTAGTACTGTTCAACTTTTTACCTTCTGCCTTAGTTATCTAATATAGTTAATTAGGTACAATATTTATTTTATATATTAGGTTAGCAAGAGAACTTAGTATTATTAAACATTATATACATATTGATTGTTTAGTTTTTATAACAGAGAGGACCAGACAAGTAGTTTGAGTAAGTAACAAATTAGGTAGATGGAAGATAGGCTGACTATTTTGACCTATTATGGACTCTCGAAAATCTATGGCTTTTAGTCTATGAACTGAAATCTAATTCCTAATTAAACTTCAATTCTGATAGTGGTGGTTCATTACCTGGATAAAATTTCAAAATTTCTGCCATCATTTTAATATCCAGATTTCCAGACAAGAACCAACGAGTTTCAGAAAAACTATAAATTGATTAGAAGCCACAACTTGTTGACTGTTATTATTGGACTAATGAGCTGGTCGAAATATTATCTGCATTAAAAGAGGCGTCACAGAAAAACTTAAATTTCTTGAATTTAAAAAATCGATAACAAATCGAAATATCTGGGTTCTAGGGAAAAAAAATTGTTTTCGGTCGGGCAGGGCACAGAAATCTGATCAACTACTTGCCTGTTAAAGAATGGAGCAGTGAAACGGACACAGAAATGTATTCGCCCCATGCCCCACGAGGGGGAAACGGGATTTCACTTTTACGGAAGGTTAGAAATATTACAATTAAATGGTACATATATTTATTTTATTCATTTTAAACATGTATATTGACAGTAAATGATGCAAAACTATTATCAACTACACGATAGTGGAGCTGATAACGATTGTTCAATTAATACACTTTATCTACTCGTAGATATACAAATTCAGTAATTCGTTTATAAAAGATAACCCTATTTTACATTACACAAGAAACAACTTTGTTTCTTGTGTAACAAATCTTTTTTTTTTTGGTATTACGCCAGAACAAAAAAACATCACGGTATTCCTGTTAATTATATACTTTAAAACGCATACAAAAGAGTTCAACGCGCACAACAAAAACAATATTCAATCATCAATAATTCATTCTTACTTCTAATCACATGTAAAATGTTTTGTATGAAAAATATTTGTAAAAACATATAATAGTTAACAGTGCAATGAATAAAAATACTCAACGGTTTTTAACGCGAATAAATATTAGTTAAAATTTTTTAAACGATTCGATGAACAAAGTCCTCCCGTGACTACAGCTGTAGCAAACATCTGACCCAAGTTAAAAATCATTTTCAAACCGTTTAAACGTTAAAAAACGGGTTAAATAAAACACTTTAACGAGTTTAATTTAACATTAGTTAAACTTGGTAAATCATTTTAATTGCGGCCCGACGTTTCGATCGCCTCGCAGCGGCAGGGGGCACGGGGGCAAAATCTTCCCCGACGTATTAAACGAACGGTCAAACAAGTTTAACTAATATATATAGCGTGTTAAACCATCAAAGGGTTTTATTTAAATGTGCACTTCTCACGTAAACTACATATAGCACTTAATAGAACAAGAGATTCCTTATCGTAATGGCGTAATTACGAAGCGACATAATACTTAGACAATTACAATTTTAATTCCGACACGTTTTCACACGAAAAGATTATAAAACATTGTATTTATATTTATTGTTGTTATTGAACACAAGTTACAACATATGGATAACGTGACTTTGTAAGTTATTGCCAAAGAAAAATAGTTGGAATACAATAATAATTTTATCCCATTAATTAATGTTAGTCTAATGTAATAGTGTGAATCGCGCGATGATTCATACCATCAAGTAAAGTCTAAACAAGGGCAGGTAGACAATTTTTTTTAGAGCCTACCTTTTACCAATAATTTTACAAAAACGGTCAAAAGTGAAGTACCTCCCTTTTTATTCTCTAACAGTGGATAGCGAATTTTTTTTCTACGTTGCGTCTATAGATGTGTAGGTCTTGCACAATTATAACATAAAACTGAAGAGCGTGTTTATTGATAACAAAATTGTGACTACTGGGAAACATTCTACGCGAACGAAGTCGCTGACACAGCTAGTGACACTGTACATATCTTAGTCTAACACAAATAAATATGCATACAATTGTGATTTGGAATGTTAGTTCCAAAACCTTGAATAGACGATAAAAATTCAGCCATTGACTTGGTTATTCAGTTATTCCATTCTTCACAAAATAGTCACTCTCACGCACTTTCTACCATTTTCTACGCACTCTATGTGTTCCGTATACCATGGGTGAAAGTGCAAGAAAGGGATGGAGAGATGCCTTCAAACGAATACGAGGGAGAAAACTATATTTTTCACATGAGTGGCACGTAAGGTATGGTGTTTTATTAGCGTCGTGTGATGTGTATAAACATTTCGCTCTGCAGTAAAGCTTCTTGAACAAAACCTCGCCAGCTAATATATGCGGACATGTTTGTTAATATTTCACTCTAAAACAGTTTAACAGTTTTGAATTTTTTTTCCATAACTTAAAGTTTATATACAAGACATATTCCATACCAACCATCAGGAATAAGAAAATATTTGTTTATCAAATCTTAGACAACAACCGCCTTCAAGTAAACCCTTGTGCAAGTCAAGAATTTGATTCCTGGACAAGCATTATGTGTTTTGTCGGACTTAGCTTAAAAGTGTAATACGTTTTATCGCTTCCGATGACCACAACTACTGTAGAGCATACGAACGTCAGGCCGTAGTTGAAATATATTTCAAATGAGTTTAACTAACATATTTTGCGTTTTTAACCGTTTAAGTATTTATTTAAATGTGTAAACGTTAGACAGTATTTAAGTTGCGCGTTACGGTTTTAGTCTTTGGATTGCCCAATAGCCAAAGCCAATAGGTCGACAGCCCAACTTATTTATATGTTATTTGGCTGGGGTATTCCACCTTCTATCAAGCGAACCTCATTCTTGTCTGTACTCTTCTATCAAAAATACATGTCTATGTCTACGCAATCTCAAAAACGTGTAAGTTACGAAACTGTCTTGTCCATTACATCAAGCTAATTACCTCATAATAAGTACGGTAGTTCACTTTCAACCTACATTCTTTGAAAAGAATCTAGTTTGCGCTCAGTCTAACCGTTAGATTAATTATTTAGCTAATTATAGGTAAATTATTTTTTTTTATTGATAGAGGACAGATTTGGCTTAGAGTTCACTTGATGATAGATGATATACCCCAGCCTATAGCATCTAAACATCTTAATATCCAGGTTTCCAGAAGATGTCAAGCTATAGACCTATTGGGACCTGGGATCGAACCCAGGACCCATTAACATTAGCCATACTTTGAAACCATTGACAACGAGCCTGTCAATTTGCAATGAACATAGACCCAAATATGTGTCTTACAATATCGTTACTTGAAAGATTATCTTAAGTATTAACTTATTAAACATCACTGAACATAACTAACAATTTGGTGTAATGAATTCATTCTATAGACAACTAGCTGTCGTAGATCAGCTATTTTAGCATCTTACATCATTGTTTTTCGGGTGTTCGGGCCGACTAAGCGAGAAGAGGTTCTCAAATTTCGCTATTGCAGACCATGTCGGACCTGTGCTCTGGTTTTAACTAGCTTCGAACCCATAACCCATTCTACGCGGAGAAGTCGCTGGCAGAGCTAGTATCCTACATAGTTAAAGTTACATAAATTGACTCTAAAATGTTTGTTTTAATTTTCAGATAGATTTATTAGAACTGGTCAGTGATGGCGTGCTGATTAGAAATGGCAATGCGGAGCGGAGGAGCAACAACCGGGGGGCGGTCGCGTGGGGGTGATTCCCAGGTGAACCCTTTTTCTCTCGGTCACGGTTCTTGGGTGCTATAAACCATGAAATTATGCCCAACACCTTTTGTTCTTCAGGTTTTACGCGAGTAGTACATATTTAAATAAAACACTTCACGGTTTAAAACGCGATGTCTAATATGTATACATAGTTAAACTTATTTGAAAATTAATTTAACTACGCCACGGAAAGACCGTGACCACGGCTGTTAAAAAATCGAGTTTTAAACCGTTCAAGTGTTTTATTTAAATTCTACAGGGTGTCATTTTGAAATTGAATTATAAAAAAAATGGAACATTATAAAAATACAACTTGCTACAAATTTTATCTGGTAACAATTTGTTATAAATAAAATTACATATATATATTACTTAAATATTTCTGAATCATATTGGACTTCTTCTGGAAATCTGGATATTAAATGGGTGGTTGGAATATCGAAGGTTTCAGTCTGGGGATTTCCGAATATCCTAAGCCAAAATAGATTTGGTGCGAAGCATCAAATAACTAATTATCTTAGGATACAAACCAATATTTTTATAATATGAAAGAAATTGTCTTAAAATTAAAAAGCTTTAATTTTTCAAATTTATTTATATTACCATAATATTACTTAATTACAAAATGAAAAGGCAACAATAAAATAAATACTCTCAAATATTTAAAAGTATCATATTGTGATGTTATTGCTTAATTATTTTTTTCAATTACAGACAGCCCGCGCCATGGACGAATTTGACCAGTTAGCAGGTCTTCGCGGACGAGCTGTTTACGTCCTGGAACATCTGGCCACCTTCACGGTAACTAGAGAGACTGGTATTGTGTACCCAGCAGATGGCATGAGGCGATTGCTACAGCTGGAGAAGACCAATGGTAAGCTTAATTAAAACACTTTTAACGGTTTATTTAGGGGTTCTCTTCTGTCAAAATCGATTTTAAATAATGATTATTACTAAATTGTTGTAACATACTGTTACACATCGAGTCTTTCGTAATATTTGAATATTAAAAAACAATTATTTCCACAACAAGTATGTAAAATAATAAAAATAAATTTATAATTTATAAGCTACTAACTACGGTCTGTAGTTTATGCGAGTAGTACGCATTTTTTAACGGTTTAAAACGCAAGAGTTAAAAAAAAATATTTATTTTATTGTATTAGATACTAAAACATTTCGCGTTTTAAACCGTTATTTTCAATAGATTTAGATTTTTAGATTAAGGAGCATTAGTTCAAAAATGTTGTTTATATTTTCAGGAATATGGAGTCAAAAGATGCAGTTATGTTTGGAAGACCAGTGGGTGTTAGTTATGGACTACGAAACTGGGGTTAGTCTTAATTTACTAAAACGAACTTTTAATGATAGATTAGGCCAGTCAAGTGTGGAGTTCAGTTCATTGAAGGTGAAATAGAATAGAATAGAAGACATTAATTCGGAAACAACACAATAATAATAAAAAAATAATATAGTTGCCTCCGAAAAGGAGTCCACTCAGCTACTTTGGGACTAATGTCCCAACACTGATATAATAGTAATTTAACATCTTACTAGATGCTCAATCGACCTGTTTTGTCTTTGGAAATCCAAGAAAATCCTTCTAGAATCCAGTATTTAGTTATCTATTACTTACTCGACCGCCTTTGTAGTCAAATGGTTAAACGTGTTGCCTAGCATTGCGTTACGCGAATCCCAGGGAAACAAAAAATGTTTCGGTCGGGCATGGGCACAGACGTCTGATCAACTACTTGCCCGTCAAAGAACGGATCAGTGAAACGGACACATAGATGTGCTCGCCCCATGCCCCACGAGGGGGAAGCGGGATTACACACACAATATATGTTGAATGATTAGCAAACACTCTGTTACTGAAAAATTATTAATGAATTACTGAAAGTATTTTGACCATTAAAAACGACAAAAAATAAGAAATATATAAATATATGTTTGTTTTTCATTGATATAGGACAGTCAAGCAACCTATTTTGAAGACATTAAAGATATCCACAGATTACAGCTTGTCTATCTGTACCCAGACGGATGAATTTATTTAGAAACATGTCTGATGTAGTAGAATTCGAACCTAGGACCCATTGACAATTAGCTATAGTGACATTGGATTAACTATCGCTCTGTTAACGCGAAGTGATTCTACGTGCTTGTCATGAACTCAACATTTTCTTCCATAGTCCATTATGGAGCGATTCCCTGCCACCTGGGTGCATTCTCCCACGGCCTTCACGTCACCAGAACCAGCAGAGCTGTACAATAACGTGCTGGCGTTTGTGGTGGGCGCCCCCGAAAGTGGTGGGGGGTCACCAGGCGGTTCCAGGCGAGAACTACATATTTTCCAGTGTCATGATGTCAGTGCGCAAACGCTTGTTGAGGAGTTGAACGCGTTGAAGTACGTATTTAAATTAAAAATTAAAGGTTTCCCCTTTTCTCTGATTTTTAGTGTTGCTTGGTCCTCCGTGACCACGGCTTATACAGCTTATGATTTTTAAATAATACTTTTACCGTTTAAAACGCGATATATATATATTACTTTACATATTTTAATTTAAATTTAACTATGGCCTGACGTTTGCTTGACGGGTGCTTTGCAGCAACTTTTCACTCAGGGTTACAACGAAACATCTAAATAAATACGTCGACCTGTAGTTAAATTAAATTAAAAGTAAGTAATTTACGCGTTTTCAACCGTTAAAATTATTTCGTATATTCTATTTTCATGCTGACCGCGCCCCCCGGGGGTTTATACCCTTTCCCCCCCAATATATAAAAACAAAAAGACCCCAATGGGAAGGGGGGGGGGGAAAAAACCCCGCGGGGGGGGGGGGGGTCCCCCCCGCCCCCGGGGGGGGGGAGGGGGGGGGGGGAGGGAAAAGGGGGCCCCCCCCCCCCCCCCCAAAATTGTTTTTATATTTCATGAAAATATTTCTTTACTCAATATATCTATTATCTCTTGATATACGTATTTTGACCTAATATTTCTTACAAACCGATAAATATCGATAGCGCATCTCGAATTGTATCTTTCGATAAGAGAAATTTTAACTTAGTTTGTTCGTAAAAGAGTGAATAAATGGTTCATAAGTTATGTACCACTTGGAAATAAAATTTAAATTTCCCAAGAGAATAATAATATGGTAATAATTTTTTTTATTATAAAATACTAATTGAAGGACTTCGAATAAACGTTAAACCATTTAAATGAAATATTTTTGACGGTTTTTTTACAATTTATTTCAATTGCGGCCCGACGTTTCGAATGCTTTGTAGCGGACGTGATCACGAGCGGACATTAAATACATTTCGCGTTTTAAACTGTTAAAAGTGTTTTGTTTAAATGTGCACACTCGCGTTAGCTATAGGTTATACCTTCTCGATTCTTATCGATTCTTATATAGGCATTGTCTATAGTTTATGGGATTAGTAAACAATTAATTTTAACCACAACTCGACATTTAGGACGCCCTGCAGCAACTGTCGTATTTGACAATGGCGTAAATCGTTAAAAATGTTTTATTTGATATTTATATATAAAGGGAAAAAGAAATATTACTTAAAATTGTATATTCGTTGTCGAATGTCTTTATTTATAACATCAACAGATTACTTTTACCTAACATCGTAATGAATTAAAGTAAAGTAAAACATCGACAAAGCCGTGCAGTACACGGTAGCTCAATTTGTTAGAGCGACAGCATAGAACGCTGTGGATGCCGGTTCAATTCCTCCCTGTGTCGTATAAAAATTCTATTTATTTTTTTAAATTTGTATCGAAAATTGTTTATAACCAAGATCTTTTGCAGGGGCGTCGGAAGCGGTGGATCGGAAGGCGGTCGCGACTTCGTCATCGAGCGAGAACGAGAAAGAGAGAGAGAAGCAGAGATAGACAGACCTAGACGACAGGTAAGTTGTTTTTTTTAAGCAAACCCAATCCATTGTAGGTTTTAGTCAGAACGTATAAACGCCAAGGATGATTGAAATGTGTTTACATTTTATGAAAAAAAAAGAATAATGTATTTACCAATAGCCATAGAAAAACATGACTTATTACTGAATAAATATATTGAGATTAGCTTATTAAATAAAACATGTAAAAGAAATACTACAATCTTAACAGTATAACAATCTACATTATAATATTATGAAGCTGAAGAGTTCGTTTGTTTGTTTCAATACCCTAATCTCAGAAACTACTGGTATGAATTGAAAAATTATTTCTTTTAGTTAGAGCATTTATCGAGGAAGCTTATAAAATATTGTGCTGTGACTAATAGGATGAAAGAATCAGCGTTATCAAAATTATTCATCTTTCATGGTCACCGAAGACCGTTCATCTGTCTGAGCTCCTATTGAGCAGCCCGATGTTAATAGCCCAACGCCTGCCTAAGTAAATAGTCCAATGCAAATATATTTTTTCAATTCGAACCAGTAGTTTCTGAGATCAGTGCGTCCAGACATACAAACTGTTCAGCTTTATAATATTAGTATAAATTCTCGCTTTGAATTTATCAAACGCAAGGCTTACGCGCTATCAACCTTATCAACGCGATAACAGCTTTACTGTATTGCCCATTGTTGTTTAAAACAGTTCGTTGTGATAAATTGAGTCATAGATTACACAACTCATGTAGTTTCACTCGAGGCACATACGAAATTCGGATGTATTTTTTCATAGTTACAAATAATTTATTCAATTAGGTAACTAGGTATACTAATATGTCCTAAAACTTTAATATTTTTCAAGCATTATTACACAAAATGGCACTATATAAATTAAAAGTCGATAGCTTTTAGTTTATATTTACTTTAACTAAAGTTGACCAGCTAAAAATGTGTGTGTATTTATGCATGCGTAAATAAGTGTATGTAAATGTTTGTAAAAAGTAAAATAAATACAATTAAGTGTTGTCAAAATAAAATCTAATTAACTTCAATACAGTTACAAACTCCCTTAACTACATTGTACGCCCGTGATTTATCAACCACCAGTTCTTAAACCAAAGGCGTAGAGCGAAAGAGAACTGGCAAGAAATTTGCCGCCACTCCTTTTATCGTCAATTTCTACACATCTTGCACTTGAAGTATTGAGTTTTTGTTATTGTTTAACAATAAAAAACATACAAATAAATACGAGGAAAAACATCTACTTCTTCCTAGTGTCCAAATTATTATCAGATTTTTAATGATTAAATGAAAATATTTATCACAGCCTGAACACGCTTAAAAACTATTTATTTAATTATTTTTCTCTTTATCACTCCCTTTCTCTACCTTTCATTTGATTACGTCACATGTGCAAGGAATTTGCGATACCCAATCGGCGTTTTGGATCTTTGATATTGATAATATCGATCTTATCGGACGGATATCGATCAGTGATCTCTTATCGTTATCAGTTCCTATTTAATTGGTAGCTATCTAGTAATTATTATGGACAATACTTGTCTTATGATTTTTAATGCAATAATAAGTAAAAATAGAAAATTAACAAACACTTAACGGTTTAAAATGGGATATATATTAGTTAATTTATTTTTAACTAGAACGTGTCAGATGCTTTTCAGCAACCGTTGTGTTGGAGCTTGATAGTTAAAGAAAAACCTAAAATTACTCATTCAAGATACAAGAGTTATAAAAAAAAACAATAAAAAGAAATTCTTATGTTGCCATATACATAACAACCAAAAATAATAATTAGTATGTGGAAAGACAGAGGTTTTACTGTACCTAGAAGTAACCTCCCGTAGAAGCCGACACGCGACTTCTAGTAAAGTTTTAAATATTTCTCTGAATACAAAATGGGTGAGAGGAATATGGAAATTCCGTCCGCGTTGCTTCACCGTCAACAGATGAAGAAGCCGTCACGTTTAAGCGCGTTTCAGTCTGTGGATTTCCGAATATCCAAATCCAAAACAGGTCGCCTGCGCATTTTGCTTACATGTTACATGGCTCCTCCTAGAAACCATTGAGGCAATATGTTTTCCACGCGTTTACTTACTCCCATATATTACCTTACCTACTATTACCCTACCATACCTTTGGACTGACGACACTATACATCATAATTACGTCCAAAACTAATTAGCTCCAAGCAACGCTAGTAAGCATTAATTCTAATCCACAATTGCGGATTACGCGCTACCGTTATCGCTCGATAAGGCTGATAAGGCGGGTCCAGTTGAGTGCCGTGCTATGCCGCCCGCCTACCGGACGTTTACTAAACAACAATGGGAGGCTGTGATGGTCGTGAGTCTATATTATTAAGGATTAGTCCGTAAATACGAGTATGAGTTCAGTGTATACGATGTAATAAGTGTACGCGAGGAGTACACATTTAAATAAAACACTTTAACGGTTTAAAACGCGATATTTGTTAGCTAAACTTATTTGGAAATTAATTTAAGTTCGGCAAGACGTTTCGAATGCTTTGCAGCAGCCGTGGTCACGGGGAGCCTCCTCGTTTAGTTCGCGTTTTAAGCCGTTAAATTGTTCTATTTAAATGTGTACAAATAGGTCAGTAATTTCATTTTCACATTTAACTTAAAAAGATGTTCAGAATATTGAAGTCTTTATGTAAATTAATAAAAAAAATGTTTTATAATATGATGAAATAAATGATCTTCACTTCTCTTTTCGGTCAGAGTAAACCTAGGTTTATCATAATATAATATATAAACATAATTTTTCTTCAACTTCAAAAAACTGAATCTCGAAAACCATAATAGGTGAACATAGCATAACGCATCTTCTTAAGATGTTATGTGGCTGATGTGACATACCGCCAAGTAAACTTGTGGTATTTAACAAACAATTTTTCTAACAACATCAATCAATATAATAATATACATTAACTTGTTTATATGGCCAACGATTAAAATAGTTAAATAATTTATTATAGCCGGTTTAGATCCGTAATTATTTCAAATTATCTCTAATTTATCAGATAGGAGACAGAAGTTTCATCAACCGACTGTAAACATTTAACATATGTTTAACATTAAAATGACGAATGTCGTCTCACCTAAGTGACAAGATCATCTATTGTTCCAGCAAATGTCCGCCCAATTAGGCCGCGAACGGGGCGGTTCGGGGGGTGAGCGCGATGACGCATCATCAACCGGCTCCGAAAGACTCTACGAGCAAGACATCGCGATTCTGAACCGCTGCTTCGACGACATCGAGAAGTTCATAGCGAGACTGCAGCACGCCGCAGCAGCCTCGCGAGAGCTGGAACGGAGGAGGAGATCGAGAAGTGGCAAACGTGGAGCTGCTGGTGAAGGCATGCTGGCACTGAGAACACGACCACCACCAGAACGCGACTTCGTTGACGTTCTCCAGAAGTTCAAGCTGTCGTTTAACTTGCTAGCGAGGCTTCGAACCCATATACACGATCCGAATGCTCCAGAGCTTGTGCATTTTCTGTTCACGCCGTTGGCGTTGATAGTAGATGCGGCGCAGGACGTCGCAGATGGAAGGCTGCCGTCGAGGGTGGTACAACCCCTGCTTACGAGGGACGCGTTGAACCTACTCGCCAACTGTGTGACCAGTAAAGAGACTGAACTGTGGCATTCGTTGGGCGATGCTTGGCTGATTCCGAGGTTAGTACAGGGTTACTTAGTGTTGTACTCACAAGCTACTTGAGCTCTTTAACGAGTTAGTTCTAATGCATCTTTGCATTCCTTTTTAATAGATTTATTAATTTGCTCAATTCTACACTTTAGCAATTAATTGCCACCAAAAATGAACATATTTTAACTAAGTTAAATAGAAGACATGAATATTCGTATATTTTAGGGAACAATGGAAAACTACAATACCTCCATACCAGCCCGTATTCATGGATGGCTGGACGCCAGACTATCAGGTTGACGATCAGCCGTTGAGGAGGTGAGGCTTAATTAATAATTTCAATTTCTATTATATGAAAAATATTTGTTTAGTCTTCATCGGAACTAGTTAATAGAGTTACGGAGACACACTATATTGTGTCCTTGTTTTATGTATTTAATTGTGGGAGAGAGGCTTTTGATGGGCTCCTTGGTCTAATGGAGCTAGATTTCCAGACGAGGTCCAACATGTCTCAGAAAGATACAAATTGATAAGAAACGTCGTGGAACTGACAGGAATCTAACCCACGACCCATTGATTACTAGCCATGCATTGCTACCATGAGAGCAACCAGCTCGTTCGTGTCGGTTTGAATCTGTGGACCTTCAAATATGCATATTCAAAATAAATCGACAGCGCATTTATTCAGTTGTTATGTGGCTTTGGTATTCCACCTTCCATCAATTGAATCTTAAAGCTCTTCTTCTCTTCTTTCATAAAATAAAAAATCGCTCTATTAACTCGTTTTGCCATCACCACTAGAAATGTAAATGTTGATAAAACATAGGTATTTTTGCGTTCAAAAGTTCTATCTGTACCAATACCGTCCTGTTTATGTTCATGTACCATTATCCATCACCATGCTTCATGTGTTTGTCCAAAATTGTCCAAGGCCGTCACCACGTCGCAATGAAGGCAGAGGGGCAGCGGAAGAAGCAGCAGGCAGCGCTGCAGATGGGTACAGCTACGAACGCGATGAAACTGATCTTTATGGTGAAAGAGATTACGCACCTTTTCCAAGGTATTTGTGTGTCTGCTGCATGTTACTCAGAAATCATGAGTTTGGCCGTAGGAAATAATAACAAAATGAGGGTAGTTAACACTTAAGTTTATATTATAGGAACGCACGAGGAATAACGAGGGCTGAAGATTCAGAATCAGCAGCGTCTTCACCTGAAAGAGAAGCCCCTTACCGTCCGATCGAGAGAGAGCGCGATGACGGTAAGGAAATGCTAAGTTATTTATATACCGTTTAGAGATTAAAACAGAATGAATTAAAGACGGAATTTCAAAATTTCTAAGTCGTATTAATTTCCAAGCGAAAATACTAATCCATTTGATATGCGATTAGTTAAAGAATGTTTAGAACAATATGATTCCCCGTTGTTATCTGGCTTTGGTGATAAAACCGATATTGTGTATGTGCCACTTCCTTGATATTATATTTATAGCTCATTGTTTTTATTATAGTTATAGCCAAGTTAGAACATAAATTTCTTTTTTTGATAATTCTCATTGTTGGGACCTGGACCACCTTTTATGAAGCCTTTGCAATGTACCGAAATACATATCATACATGAAGAATAGTTGGAGTTCATGCAAGTGGTATTCTTTAAAAATACACACAATAAACAACACTTTTAACGAACTGTGTAAGGCTTTCACGGCCATCGTTCAGCAGCATTCCTGATGATGCCGTCCACACGTGATGGCGAAACGTCGAGAACCTCTTCTCGCTCACATCGGCCGAACAGCCCGAAAGACAATTATACACTTAACGGTTTTAAACCGCGAAACATTGTATTTAATTAATATTATACTCCAATAACTCAGGGTGCAGTTACAAATATTATATATCATACTAAACTGTCAAAAATGCTTTTTTTCTTACCATTGGATCACCACGGCCCCAGATTTTATTTATTCTAGGTATATAGTTAGCGTTTAAAACCGTTAAAAGTTTTATAATTGATCTGTACCGCTCATGTTAATCCTGGAAGCATGGACAAATTTAGACGGAGGAAAGGGTTCCTGATGACCTTATATTTATTTATAATCAACATTAAATTGTTTATATATAATACCAACTCTTTGAATACTAATTTAAAAGATGTACATAGTAGTAATTTTAAGGAAATAAAGGCCTTTTTTATTTATCTATTATATCTCGTTTCCAGATGACTTGGGAGAGGCGTGGGCGCAGGGTGTAGCTGCGCGGGGCGGTCGAGTGGTCCGCGTGACGTATCCACGAACAGCAAACAACGATAAAGAGCTAACTGTAGTTCGTGGGGAATACCTTGAGGTAAATCAAGGGTTCAAGTGAAGTTCACTCGAAGAAACAGTAGGAAATGTGGAGAAAATAGGGAAAATTATTCAATTATAAGTGTTCTCGTTGCGTACGCTACGAAAACTGTTCAAGATACCCAAAAAAATTGTATAATGGAATGATGCCTCTTTAAATAATCTAAAAAAATTTCAAAGACCGTATATGTCTAACTTGCGAGAGGGGGGGGACCCGAATTTATAAAGATGAGAAGGCTTAAAAAAACACATTTAGATGGCCAAAATAAATCGTCCACGCGGTCGAAGTCGCTGGCACAGCCCTTATGAAACATATGCGCAGGCGCAACTCTGCGCGTTGGTGTAACTTAACTATCCTTCACAAGTTTTCATATTATCAATCCTTATGATTAAAATATATTTCAGGTGCTAGACGATTCTCGGAAGTGGTGGAAGGCTCGAAACAGACGAGGCGTCACAGCGCATGTGCCCCACACAATCGTAGCGCCAGCCATCACCCCACCATCTTCACCACATCTGTACCCCAACCCCATATATACACACTATCAGGTATTGTATATTTCATATCCGTAGAATTTAAATGTGAAGCTCTAGTTCCCCGTGTGGGGCGTGGGGCGACATTTATGTGATTGTTTGGTCGATTTTATGAACAGGCAAGTATTTATTGAGCCTGTGCCCTGCAAGACAGAAACAATGTATCTTATCCTCGGAGGCTGTATACATTCGTTTATTAGATAAAACCTTAAACATATAATTAATTCTATGCTTATGAATTATTTCTGTATATTGATAAATACAAGAATCAGAAAAACATATCTAATTATAAACAGCTTAAAACACGTAATTTACAAAGACCTCGTTTTAATCTGTTTAAAAACTATATTTTTAAATACTGTCTATAGTTTACGCGAGTAGTACACATTTAAATAAAACACTTTAACGGTTTAAAACGCGATATATTAGTTAAACTTATTTGAAAATGATTTTTAACTTCGGCCCGACGTTTCCTCCCCGTGACCACGGCTGCTGCAAAGCATCCGAAACGTCGGGCCGAAGTTAAAAATCATTTTCAAATAAGTTTAACTAATATATCGCGTTTTAAACCGTTAAAGTGTTTTATTTAAACTATATTTTTCTTTTGTTTTCACTTTCGTGGTGAAAATATTATTTTTATCAAATTACACTTACGATAAGTATTCAATAAGATTATTATCTCTTGAAATGTAGTTTTAAGTACTCACTGTAGTTATTAACAATTCACATTAAACACTTTTAACGGTTTAAAACGTGAAATGTATTAAACTAATTTTCGAATTATTTTAACTATAGCGACATATTGGATGCTTTTGAAAACAACAGACAGTATTTAATGTAACTAAGGAATTATTTATGATTTTCTGATTAAATTAAAAACTGATAACGTCATAGAAAAACAGCTGCTAGAAGAAGGATTTTGATCAAGTTACTTTTCTTTCTCCAGGAGGGTGCTAGCGGCGGTCGCGGCTCTGGTGGGAGCAGTCCAACAGCAGCAGCCGGTAGGGGGAACGGACCTGGTGCCGGGTCCAGCGCCGATTGGGTTCGCAACGAACGCATCGGCAAGAAGGGCGAGTTTCGATACTTCTAACCGCTGCATACGACCAAAGCTCACACTCAAATACTATACTCTGTCTAATATATAATGACACTTTGACAGACAAAATATATCAATGTTTGCTTTCATAATTTGACAAACACCGTCCACTAAATAAAGGCCATTGAAGTTTAATTTCTGGTATTGTAAACGTCGGTGACGCGTTACGGCGCCATCTAGATACCATTTACAATATTATATTGTTTAAGTTATTAACTAACAAATGCACTTCCATAATACAAAATCTCATTTTGTAAGGGTAGATTACATCGTTACGTAACGCGTTACGGCGCCCATCTAGGTTCCGTTTTCAATATTAAATTGTTTAAACGATTACTTTAACAAATTCATCTTCCATAATACACAATCTCATTTTGGAAGGGTAAATCGAGTCGTTACGTTACGCGTTACGACGCCTATCTAGATTCAGTTTTCAATATTAAATTGTTTAAGTAACTAACAAATGCATCTTCCATAATATAAAAGATTAACTGTCAAACATATCACACTATATTAGACAAAGTATATAAGTCTTAGGCCGTAGAATTCTAACTCAAAGTACTTTCAAGGCTGCTCGTGTCGCGTCCGTTTCGGATTCGAAGCCAGACAAATTTGCCAGCCAGTACAAGTTCAATTGTCCTTTAGTCATAAATTAATATTTATTATGTAGATATATTAGCGCAGGTCAAAATTTTATCCGCATAGTTAGTATACTATAATATTTTGTATGTTATGAATTTCGTTTAAAACACGTTGAACAATTTTCTTTCTGATTACTTACACGATATTCAACTTTAAAACAAAAGGAGAAATTTAATATAAAAAATCAATTTACATCCAGCGTTCTGCGTTGCTGCTCTAGCCAATTGAGCTACCTTGTCTCTAACGGTTCACGGTAGCTCAATTAGGGTAGCTCAATTATTATATAACGAACAGCATGTGAAAAATATGAAAGTTTACAAAAGCCGATTTTTACTAAACTGATAACTCACGTTAAGTAATATTAGTTAAGCTTCAACGGGGAGGGCCGTAGTTAAAATTATTTTCAAATAAGTTTAATTAATATATATCGTGTTTTAAACCGTTGAAGTCTTTACAAATACAAATACAAATATTCTTTATTGTCACAAAATATGTATACAAATTGATGGAAATTAAGGACAAACGGCGACTTTATAGCTAAATAGCTATCTCTTCCAAGCAACCGTGATAGAAATGAAAATTCAGTAATAAAAAAGGATTGCGTGACAGTAGAAAAAAGACTTAACTTACATACTAAAACTAATAATAAACAATAAAACAAAATGAGCTTAACCTAAGAATCATTAAATTACTATCTTAACTAAGTTACTTAATTAGGCATAAATAGTGGGACTTGACAAGATTCTTGAAGGAATTCTTTTATTTAAATGATAACTCAAAATCAAAATCAAAAAAATCTTTATTGTTTCCTTATATATGGTGCAGAATCGAAAGTCCCTAGTCCCCACACTAGGGGTACGGTAAACTAGATACAACGTTAGTCTCCTCTCAATTACATCCAAGTTAATTAAATTACACGTATTTATTTTATTATCTATATTTTGACCTTAGCCTAACTATACTCTACTAAAGCATTTTAAAATCATCGTTATAACTATATTATACGTAAGAAATATCAGTACTTTTTAAGCAAAATGCAGCGGTGAAATATCGAGACGTTTCATTCGGTTTTTGGTTTTAACCAGAAACGACCTTGGCTCTCTTGGGTCTGCTATTTCATGATTACATGCCATTATTAATGTGACTACAATAAACGGTCTTCTAATGACCACCAGCACGTTTTAATCGGTGCATTCACAAGAAATTTACATATATTTAAGCTAGTGATCGTGAGTTTAATCGTAAAATATTTCGCAAATAAAACCGTTTAAAAAGGTTCTATTGTCATGTTTATTTTCCACGGTCTTTTCTGGTCCTAACTGATAACTTTGATGTGTTGTGTTAGCGTGTGCGCTTATCAATGTTTAATACGTAACAACTTCGTACAATGGGAAATGTGTATTGTAAATTCTCATTTTTTATATTTTTAAAGAGTCTATTAATATATTTATTACTCTGTGGTGTGTATAGAGTTGCACAGAAGATTATCTGTGTGTGTGAAAGCGCGCCTTAAACTACAATAAATTTTTTATAAGTATATTTCTGTATTGACAATTTTTGATAGCTTGTTGCTCAATAGTTAAGAAAAAAAGTTATGTACCCAATATACAGAAAAATTGTAGCTTAAACTTCTTTTTATTAGACCTTCAAAAGTGCAAGGCAGCAAAGTAATTTAATACAATGCGCGCTTTCAACACTAGTGATGTGTACAATGAGTTTCAATTTTTATAATAAACTCATAATCTACCAAAGTGTTTTCTTCTTTTCCAATCCTTAATGACGTAACTCAGAAAATAATCCCGTATTATCGATTAGACTTCGATAGCTATAAAATCGATTAAAAACCGATTATTACCAATCGTAACTTCATCTTTATCTGTAGTATGTGCGCAAGAGTGTTTTAATCCGTAGGATTTTCAATTAGTTTTGTGCTTGGTGTCTTTTTGCTTTGTGTGTTTTCACTGTGCTTGTGGGTAAGTGTTGTGTTTTGTTTTTTTGTGTCACTTTCTGGGTATGTGAATTGTTTGAACTGGTAGTACCTAATTTTAATAATCAATGTTCTTTCAGAAAAGCCTATACCTCCTCCACCGCCACCGCCGCCCCCTCCACCAGAGCCGCCAGTTGAACTTCCAAAACCCACGACGAAATCGGATACCATAAAATGTATGCAATTTTTCAATTTAACAATTTAATAGGTGTTGTATTTATCGGACTAACACGATATTTATATACATCTAAGTAAAAGATAACGCTGTTTATTTATTTAAAAGACTATTAATTTCTTTTATATTTGTTTATAGGATAATTATATTCTCGAGAAAATTATACACTATGTTGATGATCCTCTGTATGTGAGCATATATCGGACTCATTTTTGTGTCTGATTTTTAATATAGGCAATGTATTGGCTGTAGTTTTTGCGATTAGTAAACATATAAAAAAACATTTTTAACGGACGGAAAAATATTAAATAACTCGTATGCATCAATCGTGGTAAGGGGGGTACTGGAAATGGAGGGTATTTCTAATGCCAATGTCAAATGTGCTATGCTAGCGCCATCTGTTTCGTCGTAAAACAAATTCCATGGCATTTTTGTGCACGGCAGTGCAATAAATAAATATTGTATTTTACCACATTAATAAATCATAAAGAGATTGCAAATTTATTTTCTAACCACTTAAAAAAAACCACCAGTACTCTTTTGATCAGTTCAACCATTTACAAGTAATTCTATTATAACAGCAACAAAATCAATAATGAGCACAGGAAGCGGTTTGCACGAAGAGTTGAAAGCTGTTCTACCACAGATCCAACGACGTCTGGAGATCAAGAAAACCCCAGACATATTCATACATCAGGTAAGTAAATGCGTTTTTAGATAGTTTTATCATAGAAGGCGCGTATGTAATAACATAAAACCATTCAAGAATATTGAACGGAAGGCACATTTAACGGTTTAAAACGTAAAAAAGGATATTTTTAATCCGCATGTTTTGCAGCATCTGTCATGACTTTAATAAATTTTGTAGCTCATAAAACCCTAAATCTAGCTTAAAAATCTAGTTACATATGTCAAATTTAAGATTTTTCTTTTACAGTAGGCAACAATACATATATTGTAACTTCAACGGTTTCAAACGTGAAATATTTTAGCTATATTTTGCTTAATCCACGCTTAACGATGGCCGCTGCAAAACATCCGTAACGTCCTTGTAATAAAATAATTAAAATAAATTACGAATATAATTTTCGTTTTAACCCGTTAAGTGTTTAATTACAAATTGTACTACACGCGTAAACTATATGCATTTTGAAACAGAAATCCACCCCGGACGAAGTGGTCTCGTGGTTAGAAGCGAAAGGCTTTAGCCGCACTGCGCAGAAGCAACTGCGGGTATCTGGTCATCAATTGTTCGCGTTGTCTAGAGTTCAGCTAGAACGCGTTTTAGGCACCGATGAGGGCAAACGGCTTTATAGCCAAGTCCTCGTGCAGAGGAATATATCTGGGGTAAGATTTTACTATAATAAGTGTGTAAGTAAGTATGATAAGTAAGTGAAATCTTGTCTCCCATATTCCCCCCCCCCCCCCCCCCCCTTTTTTTTCTTTTTGGGGGTTCTTTTTTTTTTTTTTGAGTCCCCCCTCCCTTTTTTTTGTGTGTCCCCCCCCCCCCCCCCCCCCAAACCCAAAAAAAAATTTTTTTTTTTTCCTCCCCCCCTTTTTCCCCCCCCCCCCCTTTTTTTCCCCCCCCCCCCCCCCCCCCCCCCCCCCCAAAAAAAAATTTTATTTTATTACCTAGCAAACTCTTCAACTTTATATATTAGTATAGCTAGAGGTACTTTATGAAGTTAATACATAGTGAATACTGAATAATTAGGCCACTTACAAAGAAATAGCAATTTTTTTTGAAAATAAAAAAAATTCAGTTCTGACAAAGAATGAAAGACGCTATCATGCAATGCGATTAGGGCGTGTGTAATCTATACTAAAATATAACGCTGAAGAGTATGTTTGTTTGAACGCGCTTATCTCAGGAACTACTGGTTCGAATTAAAAATATTTTTTTTAAGTACGGTTAGAAGAATTAAAACTTTGAAATTACTATAGGCTATACAACAAGCTGTGACTAATAGGAGCGAAGAAACAGTAGTAAATGTGACAAAAACATGAAGTTAATAATTTTCCATGTTTTTATCAGTATCCGTTGCGTGTGTTGCGTAAACGGTTCAAGATACCTAACACATATGTATAAAAGAATGATAACACTAATCTAAAAAAAAGGTTCGCGACAATATTTTTTTTTATTTTTAAGTTTAACTTGCAAGAATGACGGTAGGCGACCGACGTCGTAGCTTACAGCTATATTTGTAAAGATAAGGAGGTTTGTAAAAAGAAATGTTTGACGCCCAAAATAACTATTCTTCGTAGACGAGGTCACGTGCGCAGCTAGTTTATTGTATGACACCATGCATACCGTACAGCAAATATTAATATCATGCTTTTGAACTTTTTGGTGGTTCTTCCGTGCGGCCGAGTAGTACAGGACAACATCTGCGTCAGAACTGCAGAGCATCCTCCGGAAGGTGCGAGAGAAGGTGGAGGTTTCCTAACATTAGACGAGGACATTGTTCACACATATTTTGGCGCTGAAGAAGTGGCGGTGGAGTACCATCGAAGTTCGTCGAACTGCTAATAGTAACAGAATACAAATAATAAATAATAAATATTATGCATAATTTCTTCTTCTAAGTCCTTGGGTAAACACTACATTAAATACTAGATGTATAAAACACTTTTAACGGTTTAAAACGGGAATTATTATCTATTTATTTTCTTATTCATTATATTCTTAACAATTAAAACCGCAATAGCCAGAGTTACATTAATTGAATAGTTAAACATAGTTAAACATAATTATATATAAATTATATATAATTTAATTAACATTATAATAAAATTATAAAAGTAGAAACACCCTCCATCTTCAGTCCCCCCGTGACCAAGGTTGCTACAAAGCGTCCGAAACACTAGTAACATAGTTGCAAATTATTAAACTACGGCCCGACGGCCAGTGATCACGACAGACCGACAGCTGATGCATCCGAAAGCATTGTTAAATAGTTTAACTATTAGATTTCGCGTTTTAAACCGTTAAAGTGTTTCATTTAAACGCTACTTTATTTGTGTTATTTTTTATTGTTATGTATTTTTATCATTAAGACTAATATTGTAGTTTATATAAGTCTCTTACTTAAGTCAGTTACTTTTAAAATCTTTAAACTGTGTAAAAACGTGAAATATATAGTCAATGTCTTACTATAATGATATACTTACTCGGTCGATAGGTAGAATCACGACAGACAGACAGGCAAACATTCAACATTTTCGTTTTTTGCGACTCTATATAGTTTTTAAAATTTGAAATATAATAAAGTACATTTCATTTTATTTTGCTTGAGTTAACGATCTCTCTTTCTTCTCTTTGCCGTGTTTATTTTAAAATATTAAAATATATTGAACACAAATATAATTAATAATTATTGAACATTTCTTCTAAACTACAAATAACTTAGACCTTTAAGCAAAACCGAACTTGTACATTATTATAGGCAAATTATATTTATATTGTAATATACGTTTTTGGTCAAATATCTGTTGGTTTTTGTTACTATATAAAACACAAAGATCATAAATAAAATTTTATTAAAAATATTTCATTACAATGTGTTTCTTCCATTTGATGTATTTATAAATTCGTTTTACTTGTAAAATAGTCGATCTAGACTAATATACTTAAATACCCACAAACATCGTATAATATTGTTTAAAAATTACAATTCTTATGGCACAAGACTTTTTCTTCTAAAATATAAATAATATCGGTTCCATCCCCTAACTAAATGAGTTTGAAAATAATTATATAACGCAGAACATACAAAAGTTTCATGATAAACGACAACTTATGTATTGTCTGTAGTTTAAGCCATTAAACACTTTTAACTATATAAAACAAGAAATGTAATTAGACAAGTTGGCGAATATATGGTGGTGTCCTTAGTGTCAAATTTTCTTCAGTTAGTAAATTGAGAACGAGAAATATGTTAATCATCTTCACTAAATATATCTCGTTTTAAATTCACAGCCCCGTTTTTCAGTCCCCCCCGTGACCACGTCTGTCTGAGCCGTAGTTGTAATTTAATCAATATAAGCTTACTAACATATTACTCGTTTTAAACCGTTAGAAGTGTTTTGTTTAACATAATAAATATATAACCGTAACAAGAAGTGAAAATGGTGGATGTTGGAAGACCAGCTGATTGGGGTAGTTCCAAAAACTTAACTAAATCTACAAAAATATAATTCACAGTAGTGGCGTTCATTTGTATCTGGAGGCCCAGACCCACTTTGTCTTTATATATAAATATTCTTATATTATTCGTGTAAAAACATTGCAGGAAGTATTAAAATAACCCTTCGTATATAACTAAAACATTTTGTCTTTTAGTTTATTTAAGAATAACATAGCATCTTATGATTATTATTTTACTAAAACATAAGAAGTGATCGTTCTATAAAAAAACGTTTTAAACCCCATTTCACCCTCTGGGCATGGGGCGGACATATTTTGTGTCTGTTTCACTGATTGGTTTTATTTACAGAAATCTGTAGCTGCCTGACCGATATTGTTACCCTAGGATGCGAACCCAGAACCTCGAGCTCTAAGTTTAACCATTAAGCTACAGAGGCGGTCAATAGGGTCGTTATATAATAGTGTAAGCAATATGCCTAATAAAGGTTTAATATGCCTTAATAATAAGAAAATGTATGTTTGTATGTCATTTAAATGTTTCGCGAGGCACTACATCACAGTTTAGTTCAAACTTGGTTTTCGTAAGACGTCTTATAATTAAACTCTACTCTATTTTTAAAAGTAATCAGAAAAAAAATAGATATGTATTCTTCTCTCTTGAGAAATATGCTCTATATAATATATTTTCAAATGTACTTTACTTGAATATTTATAAAAAAATGTTTATTGAATTAATCGATGACGCAGACGGGATTTGAACTCACGATCAACTACTACTATGAGCCTACATCTTATCTACTTAAGAGTAGGCTCGTAGGAGTATACGCTACTGTACCAATTAAATTTCGATGTCAAATCAAACTATATTCTGGCACAGTGTAAATAGGACAGTATCTCTAACGGAAATTATCACGCGCTATTTGAGTACAAACGAATACTCTAGTAGAGCGTTCAAGTCCCGCTAGTGTCATCGAGTTTTTCAATGTCAACATTTCTCAAATGTATATCACCGATAAGGGAACAATTGGCTATTTCTTATTGTATATAATTATTAATAACATTCCCTTAAATTGATCAAGTATTAATTTATATCTTAAAATTTAAATAACAATCTCACAATAAAATTATCAGTCATTTCGAGAACATTCTATCACCCTTCTAATACCTAACCTTCTATAACGTTAAGTGCTTCTTGCTGCAACTCTAGCAGCAATTGCTGCTGTAAGTGCTGATCCTTTACCGCTGCCGTCTTCTGCTCCTAGGAGGGTGAACTGGGAACCAAACAACAAGTTTTATAAAGACAATAAAAATAGTTAGTAGTTTAAAACTTAGTCTTGGATCATCTGGTCATAAATTAAGTTTTAAGTTAAGTTTTTAAAGAGTCTAAGTATACATATGTATGCCAGAGTATTTGTGAAATGAAAAAACGGGAATCGAACCGAAATCACTTACCTTAGAAGAGCTTTAGATTTTTTGTTCCCAGTCAAGGAACACAATTAAATCTAAAATATTCTATAGACTTTATGAACGGGAATCGAACCTGAGAGAAAGCTTAAAACTCGGATAGCTATCAGAGTTTAAATTTATAGTTAAAGATAAACAAAAATTAAAAAACGCAAAAAAATTAAATATTTTTTTTCGTTACAATATAAATGTACCTTGTCCTTAGGTGCCAGTAGGGCGATGTACTTGTTCATGAGGTTTCTGATGCGTGGGTGCCTTTTAAAAACAGAGCCATCTACCGCCACTGCGGTGTGATTTCGGTTCATACGGCGTAGTAATGTGGCGATACCTGCAAAAAAAAACTTTTGAACTTAAAAAATACTTTTTCCCGCCCGGGGGGAAAAATTTTTTTTTTTTTTTTTTTTTTTTTTTTTTTTTTTTTTTTTTTTTTTTTTTCATGTGAAAAATTAATGTTTTCATACTTTTGAACTGTTTTTTTAGGTGCAGAAAACTAGCAGTCGATAACCGCTCGTTATCATGTAGTTTCAGTCAATCAACTCTTGCGCAATCTAATTGCGTCCGTATGATCTATGGAAAATAGGAACCTATGTATTCCTGGGCATCTTAAGAACACCTCCGCAAGACCCAGGGTACACAAGTCCTAAACCTTCTAGTTGAATACTCACAAACGGAAACAAGTTGTGCAGCTCGGTTGGAGATGACCCTCGCAACATGCTGCGCGACGAAGGCATCGGCTCTCGATATCAAAGCACCTCCACATGCCTCACAAAGGGCTTCAGCTGTTTGCTCCCAGTCCCCAACTGAGTTTTCCCTGTAAGGTGTATTAAATGAATTTCTATTGCATATTGCTCTGTGACTCAAACAGGTTAATACAAAAATCCCTAAATTGAAAAGTTTAGTAACCCGGGACTCAAACATACTACCCACACGTACAGTGCTACTGTTTGTCCACTGGTTACTTTAAAAATTAACGAATGCGAAATGTTGTATCAACCGTGGGGAAAGTTTTCCCGCATGGTGCAGACATTTTAACAGTTTAAATCGCGTAATATATTAGCTAGTTTATTTTACGATTACCCACGACCCAGCGTTACAGATAATACTTAAATATTAACAGACATTTTTTGTTTCTGTTTAAGGAGTAGATCTTAACGTGCCGGAGTAGCTGCCTGAACTAAATACTTGTCGAACTTTCGAACCCACTTAGGAAGTTGCCTTCTTTTGAGCCTCATAGATATATCCTGGTAAGTGCTACAAAGGAAGAAATTGAATATCTTACTCTTCAAACATGCTGACATGGGCACTTTGCAGTTCTCCCCATACGGGTGTCGCTGGGAATAGTCCATCTCTGGCCAAACCCCCTAACACGGCACACAACAGGTCACCCAAGTATTTTCCACCTATATACTTCTCAAACCTAAAGCAAACAAAAAGAAAGATGTATAATTTATAGCAGAAAACAAAATTTTGACGAATGCGGTAATTTTTCAAAACCCCCAGGTTTGTCGGGCCTTTTATTGGATAATTAAAAATCAAAAAAAATGTTAACCCAGTTCAAAAAAGGTAATTTTATTTAAAAATAGTAAGTAGTTCTTTACACTAGACTCGAAAACCTTATCCAAATTATGTATACAGTTTCTTTAATATATTAATTAAACAAAAGAAGGTTTCCGAAAATCTAATTCAGCTTATCGTTTAAACAATTGAATAGATCATCAAACTTAATCTCTCATCAGTACAATACAAATAATCGATATAAGTTTAAATCGTATGTTAAACAAAAACTGCTTAGGAGTTATTATGACGTTAATCAATATTTAAACTCTAACAAAAAAAAATATGTAGTGCACTTAAAATATCAGAAGACTGTAAAACAAAACTTGGAGATAATAAGAGTGGCGGCGAGTTTCTTGCCAGCTCTTCTCGTTCGTTCTACGCCCTTGATTTAAGAGCTGGCAAGTGTAAATTTTGTGTTTAGTTTTTATCTGGAGTGACGTACAATAAGATGTCCACAAACTTACGTAAAGCTAGTAGCTAAAAGAGAATTCCTGTCAACTTCTTCATCAAAGTCCGTCCTTAGGAAGTTCAGGCAACCGTTGTCTCCGAAGGCACCCCATTCGATGTCAACACACACATCGTGAACGCGTTCATACGAAGACTCCCAGTGCACGACACGATCAGCTCGCTCCATGTAACAACCATTTGACCCAGTACCTAATATCACACCGATCTGAAAAAAAGATTTGAAAACCGTAATAATGTTTTCCTAATAATCAACGGCTTGTGGCTTCTATCCCAACCAGGTCCAAGATGTTAATAGTCAATTTAAAATTTTTCAGAAACACGTTGGATCTGGTCTGGAAACCAATGAGGCACAGATGAAAAAGCCGTGAAGTTTAATCGCGTTGCGATTAGGTAGACAGCGTAAAGATGTTACGCCTGAGGATTTTTTAATACTTCTGAATTGAAACGCGACTACAATTTCTGGCTTTAAACTGTCGACGTAATTCGTGATTCTGTCAGAATTTTGACATACCTACACTTTTATGATATCGTAATTTCCAGATGAAGTCAAAAAGTTAAGTGAAGTTAATACTTATAAGGACCTATAGAATAACCTAGTGCAAATAGAAGCCACGATCTGATGATTACCAGCCATACCATTAGATTATATCAACAAGACCGTCAAGAATTTTAAAATTAGATATGGATTTTATAATATTCTTAAGTTACAACTTAAAAATATATATTAAGTTATTTATACGAAAAAGCTTGAATATAAATAACTTAATATATATTTCAGAAGTTCGTGTATAATAATGAAAGATTTATTAGTATCTTACCGCCACCTCCGGATCCAAGTGAGCCCCTGCAACTAAAGTCCCAGTTGTGTCATTCAGCAACACCTGGACTGTGACTTTCAGACCTCTGTCGTTCAAGCATCGCTGAAGTAAAGCGGCGACGTCCACTCCTGCCATTCCTCCACATTTGAAGCTCTTAGTCCAGGTTATCAATTCTCCAGAAGATATGGAATGCTGCTTCATGGGGAAAGAGAATGTGAACCCTGGAGATATCAGAATTAAAACATCAAACAACTGCTTTACGTTTTTCTTTATATAAAGGAGGACAGACAAACCTACCCATATAACATCTAAACATCGTAATATCTATCATAGCGCTGTTGGCCTATTTTAGTTTTGGATATTCAGAAGTCCTCAGACCATCAATGCGAGATTAAATTTGACGGCTTTTTCGTCTGTGGTTCGTGACCCGGACGGAATTTCGATATTTCTGCCATTTAATAAGCTAAATAGTTAAACGTAGCATTGCGTTAAGCGCGAGAGGTCCTGGGTTCGGATCTTGGGGAAACCGTAAATTGTTTCGGTCGGGCACCGAAGTCTGATCAACTAAATGTAAATAAAACCGATCAGGGACACCTAAACGTGTTCGCCCCATGCCCCACGAGGGGAAATGGGATTTGACACCCACCATTTAAGAACCAGATTTCTAGATGAAATCCAACGTCTTACAGCAGACAACAATCAGATCTAGCAGTAGATAAATTATAAATAGAATAGAATAGATGTTGAACCCTTGACCGAGTTGATTATTATATTACATTGTTAACATTACTCCAACGAGCAGGTGAAGATAAAGAATATAAAGATGGTTTGTTAATTACAATAGGGCAATGGAAATACCTTAATTAAGCGAAAAAGTGAAATCATTGTTGTTGTGTCCGTTCTACTAATTTGTGCCCTGCCCGACCGAAACAATTTATATTTATAACTTCTATTTGCTTAGAGTAAGTAAACTTCATCCTGGTACCGTAATGCGTTACCAGGGTAAGTCGTCTTATGGGTATACGATTATTAATATTAAAATTAATTATTAAAATAAATAAAACATAACTGTATTAAAAATCTAAGTTAAGTAAATATAAGTTACCGAGTGACAACTCGTCCTTTTCCATGCCTTCTGAACGTAGAAAATCGAGAACACAATCGGCCAAGAAGTTGAACAGATCTTCACCTGGACCCAACCTCAACTCATCGCTGTAGAAGAAAACCTTCTATTACTTAACATTCTTCCAGTACAGTAAATCATAAATTACTTTTGTAAAACCTATTATGCTCTCTTTCTTGGGACTTTCATCTCATAGGACCTCAGGCTACCACTAAATCAGACATGATGACTGGAACCAAACATATTGTCCAAGCCAGATATGAACGTAGAACCTGAATCCTGGACCTTATTTTTTGTAAGTGTTCTAACCGCTAGTCTAAACGCAAATGGGTGGTAAGTTGAAATTGCTCTACGACTTGAATAAAAGAGAGTTAAATGCCGTTTCCTCCTTTAGGGCATGGGGCACACATTACTGTGACCGTAATTTATTCCTCGGGATTCAAATCCGCGGTCTTTCATGCTTAAAGCAATGCTATATGTTTAAACATTAAGCTATGGTTGTAAAGATATTTCTTTTAAAGACAACCTAATACTGTACTATCTGTAATTTACGCAAGTAGTAAACATTAAACAGAACACTTTTAACGCCTTAAAATGCAAAATGTATTAGAAAATCTTATGCAAAAATTATTTTAATTAAAGCCCAACGTTTCGGATGACTAAAGACGGAGGGTGTCCCTAATGTAAAAATCAAAACCGCTACGCTAGCGTCCTTCCAAGTTTTAGTTTGACATTAGAGACACCCTCTTTAGTCTCTCCATGACCACGGCTGCTACAAAGCATCGGATGCGTCAGGCCGTAGTTACAACAATTTGTAAATAGGTTTAACTAATACATTTAGCAATTTAAGCCGTCAAAATGGTTTTGTTTAAAAACCTAAATCCTGTACTCTTTTCCTTCTATGTCAATTTTAGATAGCAATAGATCCCCCTTTATATTTTCCCTTGCAGACGCACACCAGAAATCCTTAACGGCTTTACAAATGGAGCTCTTTTCCGCTCGCGTCACCATGATCACCATTAACTGGTTTCCGCAGATAGAGAACTAATGGCTCTCGCACCTGATGTGGTAATGCTTGACATCCTCCCGCACCAGCTCCCCACCACACAGTTCTAAGTATAGCACCCGGAAATTGGTGCCTCCAAGATCGAGGGCCAGAAAGACTCCTTCCTCTGTAAATAGTAAGAGTAGGGTTAATATCCGGGCAGAAGCCATACATTTTACAGATGCTGCGTTTCGTTTTCAGGCTATAGTTTTCAAATAAACAAACTCTTCAGCTTTATATATTAGTATAGATATAAACTACGATGAACACACCTGTGCCATCTGGTAATTCTGGAACATATGTGTTTTCCATCTGCAAGCTGGATGGTTTCTGTCGCAGACCATTCTCGATTTCATGGGCAAATACTTCAGCTACACGTTTTAACGTCGCACCGCAAAGAACTAAACCCGATAGTCTTGATTCCACCTGGAAAAGTATAAATAAAGCATTATTACCCGTAATTTACGACCGCATAAAATAAAAAATTGTTTAATTTACATTTAAATAAAACCCTATATGGGTTTAAAACGCGAAATATATTAGTTAAACTTATCCGCCGGTCCGTCGGATGCCGTAAAACGTCGGCCCGTAGTTAAAATAATTTTAACTAATATATATCGCGTTTTAAACCGTTACAGAGTTTTATTTAAATAGCTTTTCAAACGTAAAATATATAAATTAGTTTATTCATAACTACAAAGCGACTTATTTAAAATTAACTTTAGTATTGGATGTTTAAACCGTTTTATTTAATAATCGTTGTAAACAATCATTCTGGTTACTAACATTATTAATATCGGGCGTTTCTTTTGTTGTAAGTAAAAAGTGTTTTTTATTTTTTTTTGTATCTCCACTATTTAACTGAAAGTAGTAGGTAAACTTTTATCTATCCAGAAAAAACCGTCAAAACAGAACTACGTATTTTTTTGTACTTTAACTCATCATATAAAGTACTAAACTAATAAGAATCTACCATTTAGTCCTTTAGTTTAGTTTAGGTTAGTCCTTAGTAAGCTTTACTTAATTAAAAACAGTTCAAGTCCGTCCCTGTGTGAAGGTCAACATTGAGCCACGTGACCGCCAAGTGACGTCAATCTTGAATGGAATTGTTTGTTTTTCTCCCAAATTTGCCTCATTATCTGCCCGCTGCTTCTCGTTAAACGTTATACGAGCGAAATTGCTTTCGCTCAATACAATATTAGTGTATCGTTTAACCGACTTACAAAAATTAGGCATTAGTTTTATTGTTATAAAAATGGATGAACGATGAAAGACGAGTTGTGTTTAGCCTATATCAATCTACATTGATTAATTCGCAAAAAGAAACAAAATAAAAGCGGCCAAGTGCGAGCGGCATGATGTTGTTCTATAGACTAAGTAAAAATATTTTTTTTTATTTCGTTCATCTTTTCGTCTTTTTGCCATATTACCATTTATATCGAGAGATAATATACAAATAATCTCAATTCTTCGGAGATTCGATTAAAAAACGCGTATTTGTAATTCAAAAATAAGTAAACAACTCTACACGTGCCCGATAATACATTTCTCTCAACAACTTGTTATTATAATTAAGTCAAGTCGTCAATAATATAGTTATCATAATTAGTCCATATTTACATATAAATCATTAAAATAATGCACTAAAACTCAAACTTAGAATATCAAAGGGAAGTAATTTAACGAGAAATGCCAAGTAACCTTCAAATGTCTTCAAATTGTACGTCGAAGGCAAGACATCTTTTATAATACATACTGAAAATTTACAAGCTTCATAAATTGAATAAAAAAATGCTTGCGAGCGCTTGTTAGTCTAATGTTAGTATATAGCTAATTATAAAAACACAAATAAACGAATTATAAGTTTGATTCTAATCGGGGTCAGCATGCTAGACTTTCCGTCTGGATAACCTGGAGATAAATTGGTGGCAGAAATGTCAAAATCCCGTCCTTAAATTGAAACGTTTATTTACGTCCTAGTAAATATATCGACACCGCATAGTTTACGCGAGTACACACACAGTATAAATAAAAACTTTCAACTGTTTAAAACGCGTAATTTATTAATTAACATTATTTCGGGTGCTTTGCAACAGCGGTGGTCACGCGAGAACAAAACGTCGCTTTAAACCATTGTAAATAGTTTAAATTAATTCATTTTGAGTTTTAAACCGTTAAAAGTGTTTAATTGAAATAGATTTTCTAAGCCTGCCGCGTTTCATCGTATATTCAAGTGTTCTCTATGCTTGTTTAACCTTTGTCATAAAAACTGAATAACTTAGTTCATATTATATATATATATATTTGTAGTTATATCTACCTATCTACATAGTATAAAATAAAGTTTTTTTTATTTGATAGAGTGGAATAAAGAGGAAGGTTTTTATGTACAACATATTTTAGTTTTCCCTTAGTATATTTAGTATCAGCATTGCACCCGAGCGAAGCCGGCACGGGTCGCTAGTATATTTATAAAAATTAAAAGTATATCACACGATATATTAGTGTTAAGTAATAATATAATTACCTTTTGAACTTAATATCATTATTGCGTCGTAATCAATAATCCAAAACAATTTGATATCAAAAGTTCAGGTCGGGTTGAAGGTCTTAGACGCGATACAAGTCTTGGTTCTGATTTATTATTACTACTTAATATGTACATTCGTTCCAGAAGCGTATGCTGGTCGGGGCCCTGTATAAAATATCGTTTGGGGCCCCAAACGCTTGAGGGCCCAAAGGGTAAAGTTGCCTCATACATATATATCATAATTCATTATGTAATTAGTGTCAATGTTGATTTGGAATTTATATAAGGCATAGACAGGATATTTTGTCTGTAAATAAATACTTAATATAAATAAATCATAATATCTGTCGGTAACTTTTACAAACAATTACAATTAAATATACACTCTTTCTGTGTTTTTAAAGAAACTTATTAGATCAATTTTGGAAAAAAATGTTGCACTTCTATTAATGTTCACTTATGCACATCGGGGTCTACGTAGCCCAAGAGCCCCGTACAATTGATAAGGCAAATAAGGCGCTAGTTACGGCCCTGATTCATTCAAAATTTAATATTCACTAGTCAAAACAGTTTTAGGCACAACATACATTTACAATATAATTTAAAAATATTATTGTCCCACGAACGTTAGACAGCACATTACCCCACATCGTAGCAAAATGTGTTGTCGACCTATTTTGGATTTCGATATTCGGAATATACGGTTTTCCATCTCTAGTCCCTAGAGATGTGAATATGAATGGAATTTCAATATTCCTTCCAACCATTTAAATATCTAGATTTTCCAGATGTTTATCTATGTATAGAAATTGCAGACTTGAAATATTGACTTTTTTATAAATTATTAATTTATAGTTAAAATTAAATAATTTTGGGAAACTGAACAAAGATATGTTCTAGTCAGCAAAAATATGCTGCAACGCTGATTTTCAGCAACACCATGGTGTTCGTCTTTTATCTTTATAGCATATATTTCGCCCCTACCTGTTCGTTCAGTAGGGGTAAATTATTTTATTATACCATTGTCTAAAGATAACTTAAGTGTCGTGAATTAGTACTAGCTATTAGACCAATAAAATTTATTGTCATTGTATCTTTACAATACGATCAAAGGAGACCGACAATACTTGTTATGGCGGAATTATAGGCTACTTAAATGCAAAATAAGTGCAATATTATATATACGTCATGTAATAAAATAAATTAAATGTAATCTTTTCAAAATATTTACTTTTTATACTAGGAAAAAAAAAATCTACCCGCAATTCCTTATTAATTTCGGATTTTTCTTCTTCTTTCTTTTAATGACAAAAGTTTGTTATGTGTTATTGTCTTTTGTTTCGAATATATAAGTTATGTATTAGTTTTATTATAAGATTGGAATTGTAAGCTTAGAATAATTAGAAGTTAAAATTCTCTACAAGTGTTTTAACAAACCTTTTAAATCTTATTAAACCGTAAATAGAAGTTATAATCGGAATATAATTGGGTGTTGTTTGTTTTTAACACTTTTAACTGTTTAAAACGGGAAATGTATTAGTTAACTTATTTTTAATTTAACTATAAGAATATAGCTTGTTTCTCCAAATATCTACTACGACAAAACAAATGGCGCTAGCGTAACGGACTTGACTTTGACATTAGATATCTCCTCCCTCTTTAGCCTCCCTCCCCCTAACCCCTAAGAAATTGACTGCTTCAAAGCATGACAATCCCAATATTTCGGAATTTAAACGTTTAAGGGTGTTTAATTAAATCGAAAAATACTTAAATACTGTCTATAGTTTACGCGAGTAGTACACATTTAAATAAAACACTTTAACGGTTTAAAACGCGATATATTAGTTAAACTTATTTTTAACTTCGGCCGGATGTTTCGGATGCTTTGCAGCAGCCGTGGTCACGCGTTTTAAACCGTTAAAGTGTTTTATTTAAACGAAATATACTTAATAAAACATGACCCTAATGTTGCCAGTTAACTTTCAACACTCTTATAGTCTTTTAAGCTATTAAGCGTCAGTGAAGTTGCTTATCTGTACCGAGATCATTTTCCAGTGTCGGTCATTTCTGACGCTAAAGAAAACGTTGCAATTACACTGATGAGCTCAATTCTTCGGGTCGAGTACAATGATGAGTGATGGCGCCTTGATTGACACTAGCCGAGATGCATTACAGTTAATAATACTCGTGGACGGAAATACCTTCAAAGTACGCATTTTAATATTCAATAGAAAACCGTCAAAATAAATACTAATATATAAAGCTGAAGAGTTTGTTTGTTTGGACGCGCTAATCTCAGAAACTACTGACTCGAATGTGAAAAAAATTGGGAAAATTATTAATCGTTATTTATTTCCGAGGCGTACGCTGCAATAACGGTTCAAGATACAGAAGACAGAATGATTTCTCTTTAAATTATCTAAAAAAAAGTCCGCGACGCTATGTCTATCATTTGAGATTAACTTGTAAGAACGACTGGAAGGGACGCAATCGACGTCCTGGGTCGTTACCCAGGACTAAGTTTATAAAAATAAAGGGGTTTGCAAAAACGAATTTCGATGCCCAAAATAAATATTATTAGCGGATGAAGTCGCTGGCACAGCTAGTACTATATAAACTAGCTGACTGAATTTGCCATATAGAGTATTTCGACCAAATTTGTCGTTGACACTTTTGTAGATTGATTAAAGAGGCTAGAGGATCTTATACATATTCCTTTTTCGCAACGCACACAACGGATATGCAATCAAAGATGAATATTTTTGCTATTTTTACGCATTTCACTCAGTTTCTTCGCTCATATAAGTCGATGCCTAATGCTGTATAACCTTCCTCGAAAAATGATTCAATCTACACAAAATTAATTGTGCAATTCGCACCAATAGTTCCTGGCATTAAACAAACTCTTTAGCTTTATAAAATTAATGTAGATAACGATTTATGGTTGAAACGCTAAACACACGAGTTCACATATTTTGAATTTATTTTAAATACGTCTTGACGTTTCGGATACTAAGCAGCAGCCATGGTCACGGGGAGTCTAAAGATGGAGGGTGGAGGGCTAATGTCAAATCCGGTAATCTAAACCTCGAATTTCATTATATTCTCGAGATTAGAAACGAGGAAACTATATTTAGCGATGCCTTTTTGGTTAATAATTATATTACATACAAAACATAATTTAATTAATCACGAATCTCATAATTTAGTATTTAATAACGCGATAAGAGCCGCAAAATGTAATTTTAATAAACAAATCTTAATAATTAATCGAATAACCTCATCGTCTGGTAATAATACAATAAAATGATAACGAAAATGTCTTTATATTCTTGTTTATAAAATATAATATATGTTTATATAAAACGTTACCTATAGTTTGGATCTGATAATTTTTTTTTGCAACTAAATAAATACTGTCTTTAGTTTACGCGAGTGGTACACATTTAAATAAAACACTTTAACGGTTGATAACGCGATATATATTCTATAAACTTAATTGAAATATACACGGGTCTCCACTTGACGGCTGCTGCAAAGCATCCGAAACGTCGGGCCGAAGTTAAAAATAATTCTCAAAAAAGTTTAACTAATATATATCGCGTTTTAAACCGTTAAAGTATTTTATTTATACTAAATAAATTACAAAAGTTTGTCTATCACTTAGGATTGACACGTGATAACCATCTTTTAGTAGGTGTTCTGAGTCGTACAGAGGCTTACTATCCCCGCACGAGGCAAGTATCCCTCGAAGCATTTTACACGATAGGCAACTATCCGCTTTCCAGCCGATTATTAAAATAAATAAAAATATAAAATATACTTTGTTCTCTTTAAAATTTTAAAATGTTTGTCTGTCTGTTCGTCATTCTACAGAGTGTTCAAAAGAGCAGCATAACCCAGAAGAACACCCAAGAAACTCAGTCCGGCTTTTTTAACATGTCTTATAAACTAATACATTGTGAATATATTAACCTAAGGAGCAATTTACATCACAGCCAGGCGGTTTTGTCATTAAAGAAATCGTTTAGACAACAATACGCTTTTGAGACAATCTAAATTTTAACTTTTTAAATTTATTTATGAATAAATTTGAAATCTCAACTGGCAATGTATCTATATCTATACTAATATATTAAAAGTTTGTTGAACGCGCTAATCTCAGGAACCATGGGTTCGAATTGAAAAATTATTTTTGTGTTAGTTAGAACATTTATCGAAAGAAAGAAATTACAGCCGGAAATGTGAAAAAATTGGGAAAATTATTTACTAATATGGCTTACCGAGGCGAACGCTGAAAAAACGTTTCAAAACACCCAAAAAATATGTATGAAGAAGTGATTCCTCTTTAAACGATCTAAAAAAGTCCACGACGACTCTTTTAAGGTTAACTTACAAGACTCACAGGACGCGACTGACGTTGTGAGTAATTCTACGCGGACGAAGTCGCTGACACAGCTAGTATGAGGGTAAAAGTTAAAATAAATTCCTACCTTAATAGCACGGGCCTTATCGTCAAGTTGAAGAGGTGGAGGCAAGAACTGCTTCTCCCAGGATTCACCAGAACCATTGCTGGTACCATTTACCCCGTTGGTGGTTCCATTTACCCCATTGGTACCATTCAAACCGTTGGTAGCCACGACGCCATGGGTTCCATTCAAGCCGTTAGTTCCGTTCATATAGGGGGGAGCTGTGACCGTTGACACCACCGTGTCCGTTTTGTGCGTGTTCCAATGTGATTGTGGACATGTTTTTTCTGTAAAAAAATAAATAAATTAAGATAAAAAAAATACGACACGGGCAGGACATGAACCGGCATTTACAGCGTTCCGTGTAGCTCTAACCAAGTGAGCTACCGAGTCCTACACGTGATTGTCGAATACAGATATGTGCATTATTCAACAAAAAGACACTTTTAACAGTTTTAAACGCTCTACATTTGAATATATAGTCGCGTAACCTACAGAACGACATCGTAGGATCGTAGTTTGATATTGGTAGATCGGTAGCAAGCACTAAAAGATTTTCTGTTTGTATGAAATAGTTTAAATTTTCGTCTTTGTTTAATCAATTAATAATGATTTTTCCTACTTATCCTAGAAGTTGGCACAGTCAACTTAGTTTAATATTGGCAGTAAATAAACGCCCACTTCATGAAATACTTCGTATGACACTATCTTTTAATACTAATAACTTTAAATAAAACTTTTAAACGGTTTAAAAACGCGAAATATTAACGTATTTTAACTACGTCCCGATGTTTCGGATGCTTTGCGCCGTGGTCACTGGACCATGTTCATAATTTATTCGCGTTTTAAACCGTTAAAAGTTTATTCATTTAAAACCAAAGTGTAAATACATTATAAACGTTAGTAGTGTTTCATTTAAACGTGTACTACTCGCGTAAATTACAGACTTGGTTGAAAAACTTTTTTGTGTAAAAACAACATACCCGTAAAAACATTGTTGTAAACAACCAATTGAGCCACAACACCACATTTTGATGGCAAACAGCAACTACATTATTTTAGGATATTTGGATCCATTAAAAATTATCATTAGCTTAGTTACACATTGTTGAAAAATGATAAGTTATCGTCTCGCCGTTGATATAGACGTATACAGGGTGATAAAGTAGATAAAACAGGATATTAAGATGTCTATCTATCTTTTAACTTTGTGAATAATATTAATTGTACTACCACTCTTCATTTTAAAACAGCGAAGAACAGACAAGAATGGCAACTACAGCACAAAGCACTGTGTTCTGTATATATATATATACAGAATCACGACGAACAGACAGACAAACATTTTTTTTTGCGAATCAAAATATTTTTTAAATTTTAAATAGAATAATTATGCTTTTTATCAAAATAAAGTTAAGTGAAATAAAATGTTGCGCTGTTGACCTATTTTGGCTTTGGAGTTTGGACATTCGAAAATCCAGACTGAGACGTGATTAACGGCCTTTTTTTGTCTATGTATGGTTCATAAACCCGGCGAAAAAATTAGTAACTAGAGGAAATGTAGCGTGTTTCAACAAAATCGTAAGTTGAAGTCATATTGGACTTCAACTTACGATGGCAAATGTTAGGCCCCGTTATAAGTTATATGTATATAAAATTAAATAAACATCCTATGTACGTCAAATGTAATAAATTAGCAAAGATCTTAAACTAATGATCGCAACATTTGAACGATAATATATATTATAGATAGATAAGCGCTAAGCCTATAAATATTGCAAATTCCAGTGTTAGGAATTTCTTCAACTATCAAATTTAAGTGATAATGACAATTAGCATCTGTTAGGTCTAGGCTTCAAAGATGAATAATTTTATCGTCTGTTTACGCGAGTAGTACACATTTAAATAAAACACTTTAACGGTTTAAAACTCGATATATTTTAGTTGAACCTGTTTGAAAATTATTTTTAACTACGGCCCGACGTTTTGGATACTTTGCAGCGGTTTAACTAAAATATATCGCGTTGTAAACCCTTAAAGTGTTTCATTTCAGTTTCTTCGCGGCGAGATGCAGCCTAAAGCCTACCTTGATATACTGTGTTCGTAACATTTTGCTGAGTGGCTGTTGTTTTAGGAGATGCAGGAGTTAAAATTTTTTTAAGCGTTGCATATTCCATATAATCTGTTAATGTTTAGTTGTTAAGTGAATCTCAGTTCATACTTTTATTTTTGTGAGCAACTTTTAAATAAGGGATTTTTCTATATATGCTCTAACCAAAAAAAAAATTATTTTACAATTCATACCAGTGCTACTGAATTAAACAAACTCTTCAGCTTTATTATATTCATTTAGATTATGAACTTTGATATAAGTCTGTCTGAATGTGCACAAATAAGTAAATAAAAATTACTAGTATATATTTCGTATATAGATTTAATATCTGTATGTCTTGTTTAGCTATTATTAGGTATTGTGTCATATCAGTTGTTTTATGGTAGAGGAGGATAAGACAATGGGTATCACTTGATGGAATTTGAAATACCCCAGCCATATTACATATTGACGAGATGCGCAGTCAGCCTATGTTGACGTTGGTAACTAAGGTAAAATTTAAACACGAATAAACTGCATGACTTTTTCATCTGTGGACGGTAGATTGTTATCCAGACGGAATTACGATATTCCTTTCACTCTGCCATCCGTTCAATAATCAGAAAATTATAAATTAAAAAAAAATTGGACCCATGGGTCAAACCAATGAATATTAGTTAGCAATACATACATTTAAACCAACAAGCCTGTCAGAAAAAGTAAGTTCTAAATAAGACTATATGTTGTATGTATATTAATAATAAACATTGATAAATTCGTATCGTGATAGTTTAAATGTAGTCAGAGTCGATATATAATCTAAAAACTAAACATAATATAGTAGGAATAAAATCCTTTATCACATATCATGTAAATGCATAAAAATGCGCAAGCGCATCTGCATCGGCGTGGCTCTGACGTAGCGACGTGCCTTCAACGAATGTTTGCACAAATGTTTGCAGATTTGGCAACCAACATTTCTTTTTAATATTTACTTAATACGTAACAATTTACAAGTAACTATGTATTGAAACTATTCGACTATTTAATATTCAATTTAAAATAAACAATTTTAACGGTCCAAAACCCGAAGTATATTAATTAACTTATTTTAAATACGTTTCGGCGCAAACGCATCTGATCTTCGGGCCATGGTTAAATTAAATGACCAGTCAGCGCATCTGTTTTAGACGTATAAACCAACTAAACAAGACTAGGCATTTCAATGATGTCAACTTATATTTGGCTTCGGATATTCGGAAATACACAGACTGTTTGCTACCATTATACCAAGGAGCCCGCCAAAGTCATCGTAAAGTCATAAAAACAACTAAGATGATTGGTCACAGCTTAACAAAAGCTATGATTATCTTAAGACGTCACTCGACCTTGGGATTTATCATGTGTTACGCTGTACGGCAGGTTAACATTAAGTAAATATTCCAAACCATGAATATACATATTTATATATCGAAACGTGCTTCATCTCTTAAGCTATTTACTATGTAAATGTGTTTACATCCGTTATATTCATTTGATTTTTTTTGATTCTCTAAGCTACAGATGAAAAACTATCTCTTCATATACTGTCGTAAATATTTTGGTTTGGTTTTTTTTTTTTTTTGGTCCAACTTATACGAAATTAATTTTTCAATTAGAACTGAGGACAATCTTTCTTGAGGTTAGCGCGTTCAAACATACAAGCACTCTTCAGCTTTATATATTACTTTAGATCGCAACTTAGATTAGGTTTAACTATCATTTCCATGGTAAAGCATATCCCTCGTTACGTAACGCGTTACGGCACTAGTACTTAAAGTAAACGTCTCGGCGTCGCGACTCGCAAACCTATGATATTTTTATTTGTTATGATTACGAATATATCTTGTCAATGTAACCGCAAGAGGGCGCCACTTACCGCAAGTAATTGGATATGAAAAATGTGGTTACATGTAAGTAATAAAGATTATCTAAATAAAATAATATTAAAACTAGTGATCTAGCAACAAGTGATCGCAAAATTGGGATATCAAACGTTTATTATTTTCACTTTAGGATTCAAACCCATGACTTCACGCGGTGCAATGTAATTTTAGGCAATTTTTCACAACAGTCTATTTGGACATTTGTTAAAATATAAATGTATTGGATTAAGTTAGCTAAAACGAAATGCCCCTCCTCCATAGCTTCCCGGGCCAAAAATAGCCATCCAAATTAGTTAAGATGTTAGAAAATTTAATAAAAATTATATTAAGAAGAATACTAACTAACTCTGATCACAGTTACATCAACGAAAACTATTTAAAAGGTCCGAAATCTACAAGCAATTCCGATCATTCTGTTTATTTTAGGCCTAAAATGGGCATTGAAAAGTTAAAGACTAAATATTTAGAAGCTTAAGAGATAATTGAGATGTATAAATTCTAAACAATAACAATACGGCTATCAGTGTCATGTTACTGCGTCTAAAATTGACGGTCAAACACGATAACACGTTATTACGACACTAAAACACGGTTATCAGATAATGGGACTCGAACTCCCGACCCCATTGATAACCGATGATCGCAAACAAGTACTCACTAATCCTTACCATATGGGACGAAATTTTAACTTAATATATTTTATAATAGGAGGAGGACAGAAACACCCCAGCCATATAACATCTAAACAAGATGTGTTGTCGACCTGTTTTGGCTTTGGATATTCAGATATGCACAGACTGACACCGATACGCGATTAAACTAATAACTTCGATGGTTTTTAACGCAAATCAAATGTTTTTATCACGTCAGCTGGTCACGGAGTAAACAACGAATATATTTCGTGTTTAGCTCCGTTAAAAGTGTATTCTTGAACCTTTTTCTTAACGAGAAGTGTTTACAAGTTCTTGCAGGTAAAAAGCCATTTAAAGATTCGAGTTTAAACAATACTTTTCTATAAGTAAAATTTAATTTTCAAAATCTGAATACGCTTCTACACAAACTCAATTCTATTTCCAAGACGTTAAAGGAAAACGACAAAAAAATGTTTACCATACAACAGTAATCTTAAATAAATTCAAGCAACACATTTTATCGCATAAAACAACTACTAAATTCGTTGTTTATATTTACTATAAAGATAATATAAATATAAATGAGGACAAGAAAAATTTCTATTCGTGATAGTGAATAACTAACTAAAATAAACTTACGGTTTAAAACGCGATTGAATTATATGTTATTTATTATAAACTATAAGCCAATGTTCCCGATGCTTTACAGCAGGTACAACAGGTTCTTTATGAATGAACATAACGGAACAGATGGCGCTAGCGTAGCAGTTTTTTACTTGGATATTAGAGGCACCCTCCATCTTTAGTTTCCCCGTGGCCACGGCTGCTCCAAAACATCGGAAACGTCGGGCTTTAGTTAAAGTAATTTTCATATAAGTTTAACTACTTATTATATGTTGCGTTTTAAACCGTTAAAGGGTTTTATATAAATTTGTACTACTCGCGTAAACTACAGACAGTATATAATTCATAGCTTATCGTGTTGCGTTTATCACGGTCGCAAGTTCGAATTCCGTAAAAAGAGAATAAAAAGTTAATCGATCAGTGACGGACATAGAAATATATCTATTCTGTACGGCAAGCACTTCACAGAATGTAAAAGAACAAGATAATCTCTAACCATAAATAGACAATCAACGCATCAGAAATAGACTTAAGTAGGGTACTAACTTCCCGTGGGTTCTGTTCTCCCCTCGGTCACGTCACGTCTTTGTGGGAGGCTATTCGCAAGCATTCGATATAATATCACCGGGTCTTCAGCCATAAACAATTTAATGAAGGTTTAAACTTTAGATAAAATCGTAGTTATGTCAAGAACAAACATAATGGTATGTTATTAAAAACAGTGATTTTGACATTGTGTAAATACTACATAGTATAACATTATTTTGACTTGTAATGGTTTGTATGGCAAGTTCGAACCCCAAAAAACAATTTGTATTTTTCTGAACCACGTTGGACTTCGTCAGAAAATCTGGATATTAATTAATCTTGTATAAGAATGTCTACATATGCGAAAGTCATGAAGTTTAATAGCATTTCGATTTCAGTCTGTGGATTTCCGAAAAAAGGCCGACAACGCATCGTGTTGAGATATTATACGTCTGGGGTATTTCATTTCAAACATTTTTCAAATAAGTTTAACTACTATATATCGCGTTTTAAACCGTTAAAATGTTTTATTTCATCGTGTACTACTCGCGTGAATTTCGTCCCACGGACCATATCGAGTTGAAGAGGATGACAATAAACAAATAATGTTTATTCAATAAAACTAGTTCAATCTACGTGAGAAAGCTACGCAGTACGATTAAGATGGACAACGAACAGATAATATATAGGTTTGAAAGGTTTAATAATATTAGATAGGTTGATGATGAAACACTATGTTTTAATTTCTTTAGACGTAGGAGGTGGAACACGTAGGAGACACTTGCATTGTCGACCTATTTTGGCTTTATAAATTAAGAAATTTCTTATTATAGGTTATAAGACTAGGAAAACAACAAATAGGACACATTTAAATCAAATACTTTTAACGGTTTAAAACAGGTCGTGTATTAGTTAACTTGATTTTAATTTGTATTAACTACGTAGTTTCGGATATTTTGCAGCGGCATTTATCGGGTCGTGATTAACATAAGTATATTTTGCGTTTAAAACCGTTAATATGTTTATTTATCTGTTTTGCTAATCAAATTTAGGGGAAGGTTAAAAAAAGTTCTAAATCAAGGACCGTTTGCGCTTACCAAGAAAAAATTTATATTTTATCAAATATTCGCGTTAGAGACTTAAAATCTAAATAATAATTACTGCGTAGTTTATTATATAATCAAATATTTTATCAAAAAATGCGTTATCAATTCTTCAATGGAGACACGATACGGCTGGCGAAATTAGTGGAAAATTATAATATCTAATTTAAAATAGATAGTCTAGCAAGTACATTGACATTTCGTTCCAATGCTCAAGCCCAGCAGTGGGACGTTAGTGGGACTAAAGAAATAGCTATTATCTAAAAGTTATTATACATTTTCCAAACTAGTTTGTAGAGAAACTAACCTGCGACTTAGTTGGCAAGTTACATTCCTTACTGTACTTGTTAAAACTGTGTATAAGTATCTATTGCGTATGGTGTATTTTTTCTAAATTGGCATTTTTGGTTAACAAACACACAATTTACATAAATTCATGATTTCCTTACAATGTTTACTTTGATTTACACTAAAACACTGGATTATATATTAAACTAATGAAAATTCCTCAAATTCACTGAGTAAAAACTACAATTTAGAAACACAACGGTTTAAAACGTGTAATTATCACTGCAACGATGGGCCGATTACAAAAAAGTTTATGTGTATATTCAAACGCCTTACCTGAAGTGTAAACATTTTGAGTTGAAGTGTACAATTTTCGATTAAACTTACAACAAAGGTAATTGATAAGTAACAGACACAGAAATAAACCCACTCTGTCCCAACATCACCGGCTCCGTAGCTTCATGGTTAAATGTATTGCCTCGCCGTGCATTTAGCGCGAGAGCTTTGAATACCGGGGAAACGGACTCAAAAATGTGTTCGATCCACGGGGGAATGGAATTTCACACATTATTACATGTGTAGCAAATATTATTTAGGGAGCAAAAACCTGGACACTGGACCAATCACATAATTTATACCACAATGGTATTTAGAACTCCGAAGGGGTCACGCGTCGCCTTTGTGGACACAAACGGACAGGATGACAAGCAATTGATGGTTCCTTCGGTCAAATGATTTATTTGCCAACATAGTATATATATGTACACATATGTACTATATCTATTTTTATGATAGAGAACAGATACACCAGCGGTATAACATCTCAACAAGTGGCGATGTCGACCTATTTTGGCATTGGATATTCAGCGATCCTCGGACTGAAACGCGATTAAACTTCACCGTTTGTAATTCGCGGACGGGGGTTCGATTACCGACCCAATTAATATCCAGATTTCCAGTCTACGTTCAACATGATAAAAAAAATGTTTGCACCATAAATCTAACGAGCACGACAAATTGCATAAGATGTTGAAGATCATTCTCAGTTCATTCGTGTGATTCAAGAATAGGGCTCAACAAAGGGGTCTGTAAAAGTCTAAGTTACCATTTCCCCTGTCTGGGGGCATTGGGGCAAACACTTTTCTATTTTCATCTACAGGCAAGTACTTGATTAGACTTCTAGGGTGGAACTATTCGGAATATCGAAATTTCGTCCAGGTTATGTCTGTTAATATTCAAATGTCGAAAGCCGAAATGGGTCGACAGCGTATAATATAGCTGATGTAATTTACCTGCCACCTAGTTATCACCCTTGTGTGTCATGAAAATTCTGCAAAAAAAATCTTAATTTGTTTTCAAATTGAAATCAGCGTAAAACATGTCATTTTTTACTTAATTAGCAATAGATAATATTTTTTTTAATTTTGACGCGGCTGTTCCTCGAACCCACGACCACCGTGTTACTCTATCATTTCAATTACGTTAAGCTACATCTTCATAATTTATATCGCGACCTTTAAAATCAAACTTTTTCTAACGTTAATATTTGTTGGAATAGCCTATACAAAATGTTTAGCAAAGTTAATTTCTTTCTTTTCACACTTGGATTACTTATCCCGTCATACTTCTATGTAAGCAATCTATAACTAGCCCCGTTTATTTAAGAATTATTGTATAATCAAGTGTTATGTAAAACTGTTTGTTTGTAAGTACCAATAAATAAAAAATAAAATATTCTACACTGAGGTTTAACAATAATCTAAGCACATAAGAAGTCTGTGACAAAAGAGCCGTAAATAAACCTACTCTTGAAAAGTGATTACGCTTTTAATGTGGAAACGGATGAAGATGGCCAATTGTCGCAATTAACTCGATGCGCAGATGGGACTCGGCTTATGTGCTCACTGGAATTCTAGAAGCGTTGTCGCACGCGACGATTAGTTGGTTTCAAAACGACCGCGTCTTCTCATGCGCATATACTGTATTGTCCTTATATTTGAACACTTAGCCGATCAAGTGCGAGTAGAAATTTCGCACGGGTTCCGGACTGGGTGCATGAATTTTATATAAGCGCTTATTAAAAATCTAATTTATATTGAAAAACAAATTTAGACACGGTTTAAACGGTAAAAAAAATTTACACAAGTTTTCCACTTAAGCCGATATCCACAGCTTTCCACGCTGTGTTTGTTTTTTTGTACATATTCTAACAGTGGTGATTGATTTTGCGAATTGAAATTTAAAATAATTTATTTCACACAAAAGAAAAAACAAATGAATTTTAAACAGCCTAATAATAAAACTTTTCGCCCTTTCGTTACAGAACCCTACTAATCGTCACTCTAACATACCTAATAAAACCGCGTATATTGTTACAATAATTACTAAGTGTGTAATTTGAATACTTCTAAGAAAATCGATTAATACATTTTTTTCGTAGCGCGTTTACTTTATCGTTGTACTATTTTTAAAGAATTCGCATACAAGGCAAAAACTTAATACGTACGAAATTGTTCATAGAACAATAGAATAAACGGAAAAGTTTGATTTAGTATTTGATTACAATTCTTTTTCGCTACGGTATCGTGCATTTGAATGATTCACAAATTATTTACCAAGCAGGAGTATTAAATGTAATTAAACACACTTTTATCGTGTTTTTTTTTTTGTAATTCCGTTTTCTCCTCGTGGGGCATGGGGCGAACACATTTCCGTGCCCGTTTCATTGATTCGTTCTTTAACAGGCAATTAGTTGATCTTCTGTGCCCTTCCCGACCGAAACCATATCTTGTTTCCCTGGGATTCGAACTCAGGACCTCTCGCGCTTAACGCAATGCCAGGCAATACCTTTAGCATTTGGTTACAGAGGCGGTCCTTTTATTGGTTTGATACTCAAAATAACGTCTATGTTTGCAGAGCGGATTCCCAGATAACTAACATATTTCGCGTTTAAAGCCGTTAAAAATTGTTTTTTTTATTTGCAAACTACTGACAATACTAAATGTAATCTTTTCTGAATGAAAAATGCGTTTTTTATTCGTTTAAAAATTCCAAATAGTGCAAAGATATCTTCAATGTAAGTATTCAATTGAATGTCTTTTTTATTATCAATGTACCTATGTTAAGGTTCTCTCAGATCCGTTCATTTTTTTTGTATTTTTATTACAAATATAGTTTAAGTAATATTGTCAAACTATAATTTAATTAAAATTATATTTACTTTTTTTTCATGTTCTCTAAATAATGTAACTATGCTAGTTAACATAGAATCTGTCTAATCAAGTACTTAAGTAAATAAAAATCAAATTTGCCCTAGTAATAAATACTGGCGAGACAATCTACACATAATACGCTGATTCATCTTCGATACATAATTAGGTATATTTTTTATTATCAAAATACGAGGAAGGTCTTAGTAATTAATAGTAAAAACGCGACAACCCACGATAATACCAATCGAGGAGATTATTGGTACAATTGCCTAAATTTTTCGTCACAGACATGTGTTGATTTTAGAAATAAACACCAATATTCAAATTAGATAATCTAACATCAGCTTGGATAGCAAAAAATACTTACATTAAATAACTGAAGCGGTTCGAAATAGCTCCAAGGACGGAGATAATAAAAATACACTAGCTTCGAGTTGGAACGACCGACCGTGGCTACGTTTGGTTCTACACTGGCTCCAGTATAGTAAACAGACAGCGCAAACACGATTGTTGGTATTGGTGGATGTTGTTAGATATTGGTGAAGACGCGCGGAGGCACGCCGCCACACCCGTGTCGTATTTTTAGTCTAGCGTCGCGTTGGAGAAAGCTCTGCGTAAATACCACCTATGTAGTTTAGTTACAACGGACAGACGAACATGGATCACTTGATAGATCAGTGCTACAAGTACTTAGAAATGTAATGTCGAACTATATGGGTTTTGACCATTTGAAAACGTAAGGCAATTTTACTTTTTCAACTGTAATTTTGTAATATCGATATTCTTTCCATTGCAAAACATCTAAATGTCGAGTCGTAGTTCAAATATATTAAAAATAAGTGAACAAATATAAATCGCGTTTTAAACTGTTTAAAAATATTCTATGTAAAATCTTAGGGAAATATGTACGGTAGGAATCGAACCCGCTCGTTGTTAGTAAATCCGTTGGACCATTCAATGCATAGCACTGCTCATAGCTCGTAAAGTCTTGGCTTCGATTCCCGGGAAAACACTAAACAATATACAAGCATATTTATTCACATGTTAAGCGATCTATGAAACAGACACAGTTATATGTCCGTTTTACTTTATACGAAATTATAACAACAGGACATATATAATACGTAATTATTTAAGTCACTTGCAAAAGTAAAGCACGTTGTTTATCTCAGTAAGACTTGTTTTTAACAAATTAAGTCAATATTGCTGTTCAAAATTCAACTTTATATTCAGAGCGTATGGTTGCATATTGAGAATCATAGTTAGTGTTTAGTTTGATTTATTTAGTTAAATAAGGAAAAACACTGTCATTAAAAATATTGGTCAGTTGTAAATATTGTTGGAGATTGTAAAATTGGTTTATTGTGTTCCGTTTTTTTGTTTCTTCTCTGGTCGTGTATCTATCAATACTAATGTTATAAAGCTGAAGAGTGTGTTTGTTTGTGTTTAATTTTATTTTTGTGTTAGTTGGAGCATTTATCGAGGCTTTAGACTATACACGATGCGACCAATAGGAGCGCAGAAACAAAAAAATATTTATCTTCGAGGGATCCGTTGTATGTTGTGACGACGCTTCGAGATTTCAAAAAATATGTATAAAATTATGATACTTTTGTGTAAAAACATGTCCGCGACAGTAATGTCTATGTTTTAAGAGTAACTCGCAAAGAACGACTCGACGGGACGCGGACGACGAAGTCGCAAGCGCAGCTAGTTTGTTATAAGAGCTAGATTTTTACTCAAGATGTATAGAAATAGAAAATATACTGTCTATAGTTTACGCGAGTAGTGCACATTTAAATAAAACACTTTAACGGTTTAAAACGCGATATATTAGTTAAACTTATTTGAAGAGCATCCGAAACGTCGGGCCGAAGTTAAAAATCATTTTCAAATAAGTTTAGCTAATATATCGCGTTTTAAACCGTTATCGTGTTTTTTTTTAATGTTATTGGTCATCTTCCTATTTCAATATTAAAAAATGATAACTAATTTTTTAAAGAATTTAACTGCTTTAAGACGTATCGACAAGTATTTTTTTATTAATCTGTCTGTCTATTAAAGTGTAGTTTGTAATTCTTTTATATTTGCAACTGGATAATATGTTTAAGGTTCTAAGACATAGCTGACGCAGTTAACTTGTTTGTAATTGTTTGCTAGTAAACAAACATAATATGTAAATAGCTCGCTCGCCAGAACAGCACCGAATATTCCAGCGTAAGTACTATAATTAAGATAAGCTATTTAGATGACCTGTTGTTTGTTATTATTTACTATAATATATCAATTATTTTTGTATTATGATATAAGAGTACGGTCTCTTGATGGAAAGTGAAATAGCCCGGCCATATGACATGTAAGAAGGATGTGCCGACGGCCTATTTTGGCTTTTGTATCTGTGGACTTCGTGACATTCAAATTTTCCAGACCAAATCGAATACGTGTCTATTAATTATTTCTCTACACTTCACATCCAGGAAATCTAACAATGAACGCAACTAGCAATGATGGAAGTCAAAAAGTGCAATGAAAAAATCCGATGACACACAACTCCATGTTGCTGCTCTAACCAATGCTCAGCAGCCTGCTGGAGTTGCTGGTTCCAGTCCAGACCGAGTCATGGAATTTTTTAATATATCGACTATGTTAAAAATATAATGGTTTCATAAAAAAAGTAGAAATTTATCAAATTTTGTGCTTTATTTTAATTTTAAATATGAAATCTATCACAAATTCAGGCACTTCAGGTGCTAGCGTGAGTAAATGTCATTTTTGTCATACAAAGTCACCATATGAATCTAGTAAAATGCAATTTATATGAAGAAACGTCATGGCCCCATCCTCCCTCGATTACGGTGGTCATTTGAGGGTAGTCCACAAAAATAACATTATCTCACGATTACAAAAGGAAATTAATAAACAACATTTAGTAATAATATGTACATCTTTACATTTACAATTTCAATAACTAAATTATTTATGATCTACAATGTCATGAAACTAATGTTGTATCAAATATACAAGTAATTTTTTTACAGTCATGTAGAGTTCAAATAACACATTTCGTAATTGCAAGTATAAATAGTTGATCTTCTAACAGCAAAAACTAAATTAATTGTGATGAAAATAAATGTGATGAAAATAAGTGTGATGAAAACAAAATCGTCTAAGCGTCTGAAATAATTAAACCTAATAGTTTCATTTATTGGTTTTAGAATAAAAAAAACAATTCAATAAAAGATAAATACTTGCAGCAGCTGTCTTTACAAAAGGAAAAAGCATGGCTGCAAAGCATCCAAAACGTCGGGTCATACATAAAATAAACTAAAAACTTTCGTGTTTTAAGCCGTTAAAATTGTTTCATTTAAATGTGTAGTACTCGCGTAGGCTACAGACAATAGTTCATTAAAATATTTAATTGAATAATGAAATCTTTCGATTTTTAACGCCATTAAAAATCTAGCGTTATAAAAATACTTTTCTGACGGGCCTTCTAAATATTGTCTGGTACATATTTGGTTGGAATAGAGGCATTGTCAAATCTCGTTGGCCTATTTTATATCTGACATGACATAGAAAATTATTTACATATATTTAAAAATTCAGTCTATATTATTGTGATTAACACCGAACAAAACGGTTATATTGAATAGATTTGAGAACGTAAGCTAACACCTGCTAAACAATAATAGTAAACATTTCACAGATATATACGCAATAAATTCATATTAACTCTCATACCAGTGTAACAAAAATTTAAGTTACACTGGTATGAGACATAAGGAACAGTGGTCTTGAGGTAAGAGCTTACAAAAATAAACATAATTAAATTTAAAAAAAATACGTCGAGAAATACTTCATCATTTATATTTACTACGATTAGTCCAGTAATCTGCAAAAAAAAAAATGAAAATTTTAATATATCCGGCTCAAAGGACCAGAAAGTTGTAGTATCAAAGCGTTCAAATTTGTAATGTGAGAACTATATTTTGTTAAAATTGTAGCGTGATTTATAATAATGTTGAATATTATGCTTTTTATATGAGTTTTATGTGAGAAAAGTTATTTATATTTATAGTAAATTTCATACCTGGGATCCACTCTTTCCACTTTAGGGGAGTGCATTTCTCGCGCAGTTACAGGTGGAAGGTCTACACAAGATGTTTTTAAGTGCATAGACAATAGACCTTTCGCTACAAAACCCCGGCCACAAACACCGCAAGTGTACGGCCGTGCACCGCTGTGATACCTGAAAAAAAAAATTACAAGTTACAAAATTACAAAACCATTTAGTTGCACATCTACACCAGGTTTTCATGGTTAGTGGTTAGGTAACAATTTCGAATATAACATCTTTGAATAATTTAATTGACATACTTTCATGTTTACAGGTATTGTCTATATTTTATGCTACTAGACATTAGAAATAAAACAATAACGGTTTAAAAATTCAGGTCGTACTATATTTCACACTCAAAACACTTAAGTGTTTATTAAAGAATTTAAGAGTCTTTTTGTAAACCCAATTATTTTTTTCATTATTACCCAGAAATAATAGCTAAACTATTAGCTGAGCTAAGTTTGACATATAACTTATTTTGTTAAGTGTTCAAACATATATATTTTACTGCTTTTGCTAATTGCAACTGGGAATTAGGATGCCTACGTCTTCATATTAATAACATTACACATAATATATAAAAATACTTAAAAATAAAACACTTTAACTGTTTAAAACACGATATATATTAGTTAAAGCAAGAATCATCGGGCTGTAGTTAAAATTATTTCCGAATAAGTTTAACTAATGTAATTTAAATGAGTACTACTCGCGTAAAGTACAGATAGTATGATATATAAAATATCGTGTCAGAATAAATGTGGAGTTCTCATTTGCAATCTTAACCGTATGCAAGTATATGCGCATGCGTCGTTAGATTGTAATCTTACCTCTCATGAATGACGAGGGTAGACCGCTGTGAAAACGCTTTTCCGCAGTGCGAGCAAACATACGGTTTCTCGCCAGAGTGTACTCGCTCGTGTAACGTCAGATTGCATTTCTTCACGAAGCTTTTGCCGCATGTCCTAGAAGAAAAAAAAATAATGTAACTACGTCCGTACTTCAATCTACAAGTCGTTGGTCGCCCTGCATAATTGAGATGACAATCTGCTTACAATAATTAATAAACTAATAAAACATTGAATGTATGTCAGTAACTAGCTATACTTAGTAGTAGTAGTGCTAAGATTAGTATCTAACACTAAATAAAAACTATTTGAAAAGGGTTATCACAATGCTAAAGGTTTCTAGTACACTTTAAGTGCGTGAAGGTTTTGTTAACAAAACTTGGCGATGAAAGGAGTGGCGGCGAGTTTCTTGCCAGTTCTTCTAGTTCGTTCTACGCCCTTGATTTAAAAACGGGTAATAAGTTTACATTTTTAAGTAATGTTTTTGACTATATTAATATAGTTAAAAAAATAAGTGTACCTTCATAAATAATCTTCGACTTGACAAAATTAATTATTGATTTTGTCTGTCTGTATGTCATTATAGCGCTGATATACGCTGATTACAATGACAGAGTATCCCATGATTAATAATGACTCTAGTGATATATATTTTATAGAGTAAGAGGCAATATATACCCGAACATCTCTTTCTCATCTCTTTTACAAACTCAACTCACTTGCAAGCGTAGGGCTTATATCCTGTATGTATCCGTATATGGAATTTGAGGTGTTCCCGGGACGAAAGGGATTTCCCGCACACGTTGCACAAGTAGTTGCGTTCGCCGGAATGCGATTTCAAATGTCGCCGCAGCGAGTTGAGATGCGCGAACGACCGGCTGCACAGTGCACAGCGCAGTACCAGCTCGCGGTTTGCTGCTTCCGGATGGGTCGTGTTTCTGTGGGCTAGGAGACACCTGCGAAGGAAGGCATAAGCATATACTATCTCAGGGTCAATTATTAAATAGCATGAGATCGAGGATCGAGACAGACTAATTAAATTACTTGTAGAAAAATTATCATTAAAATAGCCAAGGAAATGCTTTAAAAGGAGAAACGGATTTTTTTTATGTCCGTATTTTTTCCTTATCGGATAAATTTATGTACTTATTAACTACTTTCCACAGTCTTGTAAAGTTAAAGAACATAATTTTAAAACTATTAAACTTATTTACAAATTATTTTAACTACGGCCCGTCGTCCCATCTTTAGTCCCCCGTGACCGAGGGCGCTGCAAAGCATCGGAAACGTCTAGTCAGTAACTACAAACAGACAGAATTTACTTTGTCTTCCTCTAAAAGAAAACAGTTCTGACGAAACCAAAAAACCCGCATACTTGGCTGTCAAAAGAGATGGATAAAATATGGTATGAATACCAGATAATAAGACAAAAGGCGGTTTACATAGTATTGTTTTGATCACTATTTGTTAGTTGTATATGACACAAGAGGCAACTAACCTCATGTAGACAAATCCTTCAGGGCACATGTCACACACAAATCTTTTCGCTGGTTTGTTCGGTACATGATTTGGATTTTCATACTCAGTTTTATGTGTTAGACCTGAAACATGAGATATAACAGCTTATAGTTTGCGCTATATATAAGGTACTACAAAATTGAAAGGTTCGGCATCTGAAACGGCATCATCTATTGATAACGTCATCTACTTGTCATAGTGTAACGACACGGACCACTTTTCAATTACGACAGAATAACAAAAAGCCTTATATAACTTAATAGGGCCATTGCCGAGTTTTCAAACATTATAAATTCAAATCAAATATAACTTATTTGAACCATCAATATATAAGATAAGAGTCTAAGGGTATCCTAGACTTTCAAGAAAGTCCAGGATTCTAATAAATCGAGTCTAAAATACTGTCTATAGTTTACGCGAGTAGACATTTAAATAAAACACTTTAACGGTTTAAAACGCCATATATTAGTTAAACTTATTTGAAATTATTTTTAACTTCCGCCGGACGTTTCGGATGCTTTGCAGCAGCTGTGGTCACGGGGAGACCCGTCTCCCCGTATAAATAAGTTTAACTAATATATCGCGTTGTAAACCGTTAGTGTTTTATTTAAAATTCAAGTCTAGTGAGACTTGTGAAAACTTACTAGTATGGTAGTCTTTAGAATTACTACTATATTGTTATCTTACTGTGTTTAAATATCTGATGATGTCCTTGGAAGCTCTTTTCGCAAAGTGAACAGTGGTAGGGGGGGCCTGTCATTCAGCCAATGGCGCTGCCAGTGTGCTTTCCACGCTTTCTTGTTTCGCATCGTCTGAAAAGCAGCCAATATAACAAATTAATTCATAACTCCTATATATGTTATAAGATTTATGTGCACTAGCCAACTAGTACTCTCTTTGGCGAAGCCAAGAGATCATGGAGGCTACACAAATGAAAATAACAAAGATAAATGAGATATTAAAAAAAACCCACTTCCAACATTTTAAAAAGTAAATATATTAACTTGTTTTATTTTAACTGCGGTTTGACGTTTTTGATGCCTTGCAACAATTATCTATAATGTGTTTTGCGTTTTAAACCTTAAGTGTTTCATTTAAATTTAACGAGAGTGCTAAAATACTTTTCTATTTTACCAGTAAAATACGTTGCTAAGACAGTGTGTCTTTACAAAAACAATTAATGTAATAGATTTGTGAACGCTTAGAAATAAGCAACCTACGGCTTACAGCCCACCACAAGCTTTAAACAATTGAGCTACCAAAAAAAGTTTTATGAGCTCTTGTGAGAATAATATATTAATATTTTTAAAGCAAAATAAAGTCTATTTTAGTGTTTAAAAATATCAGCCTACAGCGATCCGTACTGCTGTTTTAACCAATTGATACGATATTACGAAATGTGGTACAATGTGTACTTAAAAGAAATGTTACCTTTTTACACCTGTCACATTTAGCTTCAATGGGGAATGGTGGAGGCATTGGGGGCTTCTCTAGCTGCGTTTTGTCTAAATGCGTCCTGTAATTACAAAATAATATATTAAGGTTATTTAAATAAACAAGTTAATCATTTGTTTTCAAACTCTATCATTTCATCTTTAATGATTTTCTTAAGCTACAGCATAAAAAAAGACACCTGAAAAAATGTTAAGATTGAAATTACATTGCGCGAGACGTGCATGTTTCAATCATTTGAAAAAAATCAATGATAACGTTTAGGACAGTATGTGGTAGTTCAATTTGTTAGAGCAAAAGCACGGAATGCTATGGGTGCCAGTTCAAGTGCTAGCTGTGTCGTGATTTTTTTTTAACATTTAAGTTTTCAAAGTTCGTAATCATAAGATACAATTACAAAGGAGATGACAAAAATGGTCATTGAATGGCTGATGTTATACAATCAGATGACATTTGATGAGAAATGTAAATTGAACACAATAGAATTTTTTACAGCAGTAAAAGTAACCCTTCTACACTTAATGCAAGAATTTCTGGGTATTTTACCTAATGTCAAGTGAAGCGGGTGCTTGTGTGACTTCTTATGTTGTAAAAAATATTAGCTACTTACTTGTAGTGTTGTAACATATCATTTTTGGTCTTGCATTTAACAAAACAGATGCAACAGTAGTGAATTTCATTGTCCAATTCATCTAAATGATTAAAATCATCGTCCGACTCTTCTTTCACTAAGCTTAAATTAATATCATTTTGCTCCAAGTTCATGTCAAGAAACTGGGCCCTGATAAGATTTTTCTTTTGACCCATCTTGTCTTGATGTTTTCCAGTTGCCTTTTTATTCTTCTTAATGTTTATTAAAAGGTTGTCATCACTGTCTGAAGCATCATTTGATATATCGTTTTCATCATTTGAATCTGACTCTTGTTTTATCGTTGGAGACTTCTGCGGCTCAACTTTGATTTTCATTTCTAAAGAGCTATCTGTCTGGGTGCTTTGTTCATTACAATGTGAAGAAGCTATACTTGTTTTGTTATTTGTTTCCTTAGAGCTTGTAAGTATTGATTCTAGTGATAACATTTTTCGAAGCCTAAAAGATAACAAGTAAACAATTAATACAAGAAAACAAAAGATATGTTATTACTATCTTACGGTTAGGTAAGGCTCTGAGAATTTAAAAAATAACATAGTTATGTTGGTAATAGAGGTTTTTCATTATATAGAGTATGTCTGTGCCATGACAGCGAAGTGTTAGTGGTAAAAGAGTTTAACTAAATGAGTATTATTCATTAAACGGACGACAATAATTAATGCAATTACCTGTTCTCGACTTCAAGTGTTTCATTACAAAATTGATAAAAATCGTTTACTTTACAGCTACATTTGTCACATATTTTCTGTGGTAGTGGATCGTTTTTAAACACCTGAAATTAATTAAGTAACACACAAACATTGTTACGTGGTCGATCCATTGCAAAAAAAGGAGGAAAAATAATTTATTACCTTTATCGGCAAATACATGGACATTTTTAAAAACAGTGCGTTCTCTTCATCGAATATGTAATTATTTACAAAGTTCTTTGAACAGCACAATCGACATATATCATCCATTACTACGACACGTATCGTAGAAATAAAGATTTTTTTTATGTCCTCGCGATGTTTGCACAGTTTCAAAGTTTAACGCGAAAAATAATTGTATTTATGAAATGAAATGTTACTGACTGACTGCTACATTAAACAGTTTTTAGTTTTTCAGACAACTGTCAACGTTGACAGACGGTGACAGTGTCGCCATTTCAAAATTCTAGAAGACGCATTGTGAAACACCCAAAAAGGTAATCGTTACTATATTCCTTCGAGTTATGTATACCCCTCGTATAGATTAGCAGACAAAGGGGGAGGGCGGAGAAGGCAGGCGCGGACGAGCCTCTGCGCCTAACTTTTGATTAATGAACAGAATACGCATTCTCGAAAAGTTAACTTGCTAGAGTTGTATCCTTTAAGATATTAAAATATTTTCGAGTCATATCCCTATAGCCTGTATGCTAAAATATGTATACAGATGATAAATATTAAAAATCGTTAAAATACATTTTTTACTAAAAAATATACTTCCTAAATGGAGCACATAGATAATAACGTGTTGTATAATTCAAAGAAAACAGAATGAAATAGAAAACAAGGTAACATACTTAATTAGCGTTTTAATATGTTATTTTAATAATATATTATGATTATTATAAGAATTGGCATAGCGTAACTTCTTGACGCGAGTTCTTTCGCGATAAAGGCGTCGACGGCCACTTATCTTTATCGTGCGCCTTTAATAAATAAAGTGTAAAAAACGAGATAAAGCCAAGGTACTACTTGTAATGGTGGTTGACGTGACTACGGTTTATATGAATTCATATAATTTTCACTTCTATTAATGTAGTAAATTTAACTTCCCATCAAGACATTTACTGCCAAGCCTTAAAATCCTTTGAAACACTTTGTAGAATAATTAAAAGAATTTATTTATTTTATTTATTGAAATTTTAAATACAAGCTATACATTCTTAAATTAATTTAAGAATGTATAGGTTGCCTAGATTATATTTATGTTAAAGTTTAAGTACCTAAGTTAAACCTGCTTAATGAAATACTAGGTTTTTTAATGATGTGTAAGTATGAAGAAGAAAGGTTTTAAAACTATATCTATTTTCATTTATTCATTAGTCATTTGTTATTTCATTTCTCGAGTTATTTCGATTCCACTATAATGTCTTATCTGATAAGGCATAGAGCGTGTTATCTTCAGATACAAAATCCATTTTCGTGAAATTAATTTCGTGAATCGAGAGCTAGGTATAATTTCGACATTTCTAATAAGTTTTCTCCTGGAATAGACTTTCACGATAACGAAAATATTATCGTATCATTACACAACGGCGTTAAGTAAAGATTTAGGTGCTTATTTAGTATGTATATGTTTCTGATCAACATATACAATCATGCTATAAAACGAATTTAAAGTATATTTTGTATTATAGTGGCTCCTTTGACTGTCCTTCACAAATCTTCATTTTATTGAGTATAAGAAATGTTAGAATTTAAAAGCCATTTTAATCATCTACAAAATCATTGTGCTACTATAAAGTCATTATTAGAATATATTGAATTATTTAAGAATAAAAAGTAAGAGGGCGCCCAACGTGTTTTCATTTAAGTTTTCTACACTGCCCCGAAAATTTAGTATGAATTTTATCAGATAGCATTTGATATAATTGATAGTGAAAAGTGGGTTCAGGTGTGGCCCTATCGTGATAGCTGGGAACCGATAGATTACACCTGACCGTTCCTTGACACCAATGTTTTGTTGAGATTTGAACATGTTACTACGTGAACGGGTCCTGCCTATGAGAGCTTTGATTATAGAATATTAACCACGTAAATAAACAAACAGCTAGGTCTCACACCCTCTACCTCTAATTAGGAGTCTACAAGTTCTATCAAACATAATATAATAAGCTTTTTCGAAACAAATTTGCGCCCGAGTCGCAAGTCATTTCGCGGTACAGCTTCAATCTTGTGTCATTCTCGAATTACTACAGCCATTTTTCACAAACTAACTCAAAATGTTGCTCACAGTTATACTAAAATATCGTAAAGAATCCTACATCTGTTTTTGTAATATCATCAAAACGAACAGCCCTTGGTGCAAAGTCCTGTAACCAAGTGTTAAACAACACGAGACCAACACATGATGGAAGTCAAGAACCTTGAAACATTTGATAAACATAAGATGAAAATCGATACGGGAAACTTGCGAGTCAACTTTGTAATTCAGTGAAACGGCACACACGCTTCTGAACTCCAGCTTAACTTTAACCCACATAACAGAGTTCAATGTAAACACAATACGGCAGAAGTTTTCGAAGTTCCAGTTCACGGCCGCGAGGCGGACCGTGCCTCCCGGGGAGCGTTCGCGCCCCCTCCATAACCCCCCAAAGTTATCGTCGCGACTCTTCAGATATTACCCAGCCCCGCCGTTGCTTTCACTGCTCACCCACTCGTAATAGCCTCCGGACATTTTTCATTTACAGCCATTACAACAATTGCTCTATGTTCTATTTGCATAGGTACTCATATTTTTGTTTTGATGAATATGACTACTGTATTATACGTCGGTATTATTTGAAACTGAGGCTGCTTGGAGCTTTTTTGCTGCTATTATAACACATTGATAAATTATTTTCAGCTTATTTTGGCATATCTGTACAATTACAGAATTTTTTTTTTTTGTCAAAATACGGAGTAGCATCTTATCTTTGTATTCGTAGAGAGTATACGAAAATCTTTACTTAATCTTTTCATTTAAAATAGGCTTTTAACAATTAGATTGTGTTATCTGCCTTCTTATTGTAAACTGCCTTTAGTTCTTATTGTAAAATAAAGTCGATCAGTAAAATGGACATAGAAATACGTTAGCTCTATTTGCCCCACAGGGGAAAATGGGATTTTACTACTATGTTTCACGTTTGAGCTGTTATTTTTTTTACTACTTATAAAGTAAAATACTACTAACAATATAACATACAAAATGTCGATAGTACCTATTACCTACATCTTCGAATCAAGTCACTGGCTTACTATTTTTAAATTCCCTTCTTTTCAATCTATTCTGAAATTATGTGAAATTATAGAATTATCTAATAATATCTCTGTTTTAATACATACACCTGTCTATACGGTGTTCCAGAAAGCGCACCTAAAGCCTTATCAAATGACACCATTTGATACGCGCCTTTACCACGTTATCTGCCATGTCGAAATTCTTCCACGTATGTACAATCACATGCCTATTCTTGAAATAATATTTTATTGACGATCCCTTTACCTATAAAGTAAATTTCATAGTCCACATTACACATAATACGACATCTTAAAGTTCGTCGTAATCGTAAAATTTCCTTACTCTTCCGTTCTTGCAATTAGTGAGCATTTTGAATTGTAAAAATGTTATAAATTGTAGTTATTCTACAATATAATACCCATTCTATACACCGTTCAGATGTCGTAGTGATGAAATGTCACATGTGATGAAGTTGGTCATAAAAGAAGTCATACTTACACTCTAATTTACAAGTCATTAATTCGTTTATATAACAAATTCATTTAGTTCTTTACTGATGATGATAACGATGACCGTATATAGTCCAATATTAATTAAACAAGTGGGATACTATTCACAAAATACATAGTATTTTTCATATGAATAGTACTAGTAACATATTTTCAAGACCAAGTAAAAGCGTAATCTCTTCCAGGCAACAAAAGAAAATTAAAATTTGTCAATAACGTTCAGTGACTGCGACTAATATGAATTTGGTATTAGCACACTCGAGATCGGTGTTACATCACTAGCGATTCATTTGTTAAAGATAAATATTGTAAACCCTAGAAACACATGCGATTGTCTGAAGCAGACGAGAAATTAATTATCTATTGCCACGAGATATAACGTAATAAACGTGTATCTCCACTGTAAACAACTAGTCATAGTGATGGAGTGAAGCAGATAGCGGCCTGGTGGCATCGGTCCCGGACGGCTGAGAGTTATTCTGAAGGAGTCCTGAATTGTCGTCATCGCTTATCACCACCCTACCGATTGGTCGAGTAAAGTGTTTGCGTTCCCGATATGATCAGTGAGCACCAATAGATTCCGCGGACCGTCGAATCTTATCAGGATCATGGTGGATATTCGTACCTCGTGGCAATTCCCCGATATGGTATCTAAGATATGATCGAGTGTATAAATATGGGGCCATCGATCGATCGGCTCTCTATCGAAGTTCACGCTGTGATTGAAATCCACCGTCCGCAACATAGTGTCCTATAGAAAGACCTGCGGGGGAAACGGGGATGTATTTTTCCGTGCGCACCGGCCGACTCGTGCGCACACCGTATCTTAATTTCACAATCTATTTTTACCAACGCGACACGTAAGTAGAGCTGGAGAGGTGTCATTAATTACGATTACGTAATCGTTGACACCACCGTGTTTCCTTAATTCGTGAGCACGGATCCGTTTGAAATAACCATAATATTGGCTATGATAAGCATTTTAAATGGTGGTATTTAGAATAGTTGACGTGATGGGGAAAAGCAGTGCTCTTATCAGAGAACGTTGGCCGCACCTTTTCGAGCGGTGATAGTACACCACACGGCTTCACAACGCGAGCACTCCGATTATCACGGAATTAATACACTGGCATCACGCTATGCGTTATATTAGCATTTCTCATATATATTTTTTGTTACAGATCGTGTAATCTATCGTCAGCGGGATAGAAAAATTGGGCTACATATCTGAGTTGGACAGGGGATCTTGACAGTTTCGTAATATATGCTGCCAGATCTATCTTTCCAGCTCACATGTGAAGCCATCGGCATCAGAATGGCATACGACGTTTGTAACAGTGGTTTTGAAGATATGGCATAAAGGATCAAGTGGAGGTGTGATCTCTTCACTTTTTTTGTTTAAAGTGAGATTCAACTCCTCCAACTTAACCCTGAATTGCATTTGCTCCAATAGTGAACAGTTTGAAATATTATACAAATTCATGTTGTAATTACAGCTTTGAGTATATTTTTATCTTGTACTGAATTACGATGAATAAATGATATCAACGACACGTTGTTCAAATAAACGCAAGATACAGTTTACTTATTTGTACCTTTCCTAAATAATTGATTATTTTTACCAACTACGTATAATTGAAATTTGAAGTCTTATAATATTTTTTCGTTTATTCTAACTTTGTGAATCTATCAACTACATAATTGTTAAAAACGTTTACTTAAATTACGCTTTTGCAAGATGAATTCAAAGATGGCGCCAACGTTGGCGCATGCGAGTTTTGACGAACACCCAATCCATTCCGACTACTCTGAAGTGCGTCACAAATCTCAAAAAAAATCACAACACTCACACAAAAAATAGGCAAAAAAATGTTGGTAACACCGGTGCGCTAAAAAAGCTTGCAAACTTCACGCACGTAACCTGCGCTGGACATCGACTCGTTCCTATCTAACTCGGGGAAAATGTATATTGATTTTTCAAAGAAAACTCAACCGATGTAACAAAACACCGTTCGCGGAGTGTTTATACGCGTATTGAAACGTCGCGGTCGATGTGTTGTATCGCCGAGATGGTGCGACGGTGTATCTCGGCGTGTTTTAAGTGAGATCATAGTGTGTTGCGTCGCCAGGCCGTCGGCCCGGAGCCTGGCTGCGGCCAGGGCCTGGGCGCGCCATGGACGCCGCTGACCCGCTGCGAACGGTTAGGCAGTGAGTATCACGCGCTCTGGGAATCCTTGAGCCGTCGCTGAAACGCTTGCGTAGTTACGCCGTGGATTATTTCGGTCCCCTCTAACTAAAATTCATCTGAGGTTGCGAAACGTTCGCGATCGCCTCTCGTACCGCGGAGCCGCCATTCTCTCGCTCGTACGGCGTCACGGCCTCCGCTGCGTTGCGCCATTTCGGAGCGGTCGGGTCGTCCGCGAACGCTAGGCGAGGACACGGCGGTCGCTGGGCGGCAGGGCGCCGCCGTCGATAGCGATCTCGGCGCGGCGGTCGAGCGTGACTCTCCGCCTCCGCAGCGCCTCGTTCCCCGTCTAGTCGCCAGTGGCACTAGGGCTGCACGCACGCTGCACGAATGGCGACCGGGCACCGCCATAAATCAGTCGTGTTTACAGTTTTTGCGAAGGAGCAGCCCTTTGTCCGTCGGGGCGGTGCGACAGCGCGATTCTCGAGTCCGGCTTCGCCTGGCGCTCGAACGGCCGAGTGAATTATGGCTATGTGCATACACGTCGTGCACAACATACCATACGTACGCGTATATCTATATTATAGTGCATCGATGAGCGAAGGCTGCGACTACGTACATAGTTCAAACAAAGCGTTTCGCTCACGAATCCATACTGCTAACGAGATCGGCTGCTTTTCGCGTTCCTTATTGCATTTCGCGTAGCGTCTCCGCCGTGTTTACGTCGTCGCTATAATTAATGAGCCCGAAAACATCTGTGCTTGTCAATTGTGCGAATTAGTGTGCATTTTGAGGTTAGGACGTGATCTGTGATAAATTCGCGATTCGCAAGGAGAATGGATTCTGCAGTGAACATAAATGTGTCAGACGATCATTGTTAGTGTTGTTGAAGTGAAAAATGTGCTTCTTAGGATCTAACTGCTCGACCGGACACAGCAGATAATCTTTGTGTTCTGAATCGGCTATTAAATGCAGGAATTCCACCTGAATTGGTAATTGTTTTATGTTATTCGCGAAGGATATACAGTGATATCAGGAATTTGTGGGCTACACCATTATGTTGTGATGGTATGGTCTGCGAGATCAGGTGATGTTTAGTCCATTACTTCTGACCCTGACATGATTACCTCCGCTTTGTCAATATATTGATCCAAGAGTTTTAAGATAATATAAATACTAATAGAAGGCTAAATACCAAAGATAATCTAAAAGTATGAACCAAAATGCATAATATTTTGGCAATTTTAAATAGTAGTACATTTGAGTACGGTTTCAATCTATTGCCTAATGTGGTTTATACTGAAACAATACCAAAACAGTTTGTCTACCTCTTTTTGTTAAGAGCCGCGGTAATAAAATCTAATTGTTTAATTATAATGACTGGCGGTTGCTAAATGTGATGTGATCAAAATTAATTACCCGTTTCATTTTGGCATGATTTAAAACTTTTCATTTGAACCAAATTATTTCTGTGGCCATTATTATTATTCCCCATTGGTAATACCGAATGGTGGAGGGTGATCCATCCCCACAAGTCGCTGTTTCTGTGTTAGAGGTTTTATTGTAAACCTTTTTAAATAGTTCTTTATTTTTCACCGTATAGAACCGTATACCGTAGTAGAACTTTTTATGTTACTACTATACAGAAGCACTTCTACATAGAACTATAACTTTCCATTCCAATTCTTTACTCACTACTAAAATAAACATTCTTCACACCAACAGCAGAATTGGTGGTGTGAAGATATAATATGATAGTTCTCCGCTTATGTAAGGATTTGAATTGATTTATTACATCTAATTATTGTTATTAATCATATTTTTGCAGTAATAACTTTAGTTTTTGCCGCCCGTGGTGATCATTTCGCAATTTTTATCCAAATTTGAATGTGACAGCTTATATTTTATAAATATCCTACATTGAACTTGAATAAATTATGTGATTTAAGATTTCTTTTACATATGTAATTCAAACATGCTAGATTTTCTATATTCTAGCTTATATCATGTGCTTCTGAAGTATGTTGTGATTGCACAATGAAAATCTTCTACAATAGCAATAAGATAGTCCTCAAAGACTATATAATTGCAATAAAGGAAGTAGATATATATATATATATATATATATATATATATATATATATAGATGAAATGGGTAGCAGCTAATATGTATCACACTTAAACGGTTTAAAACGCGATATATGTTACTTTTTTTTTCTTAAATTTATTTGAAAATTATGTTAACTACGGCCTGACATTTTGGATGCTTTGATGCAGCAGTGGCCATGGGGACACTACACACAACTATTTGTCGGTGATCCAATAGAAAACAATATCGAAGGTATACTTTGTGATCAAACACTTGATTATTTAAAAAGGAAGTCCTGTTCAGACACATTTTCTATCTGGCTTTTTGAACTCAAACATTGAAAATTGGGGCTCTATCCTACTGACATTGAAATAAAACATTATCAATAATTCATTAACAAAATAAATACACCAGAGGTACAGAGACATTGAACTTCGACACTTGCCACTTATATTTCTGTCGCTATTTGTAAAGAATATTAATTGCCATTCGTTTTGTATCTTCCTACATGATACATGTAGGTATGTAATTTTCTGGATTAGATGTTTTCGGACTTGTAATGATAAATATATTGTTTCCAAACTATGTGAATGTTTATATACCTTGGTGAGTTTTTTGAACGGTTCAAGAAGACCCAATTATGGAAACATTTCACTTGTAGCATGCACGTCAGAGAGTCATGTTCTTGTCAAATTAACTGCTAAGGGATAATTTGAATCAGACAAATAATTGATCAGTTTAGCCAGGATTTTATCTTGTTTTTGTTGGCTAACCTGGTTTACTAGTACATGAATGAGTGCTGACAGACAGCTCAATTCCAAGTTGATGTATAATGTTGTGCTAAATTCCTTTCTTGGTATGTTTAAGATCTCAAAAAATTGGTTTTGAATCTACCTAGATTGGTTCTAAAAGAAACAAACAAACAAAACAAAGAAATGTTATTTTGATTTCTTCACTACACTAGTATCTCTCATAGGAAACTGTAAAAGTCGTTTACGCGAATGGTATACATTTAAATAAGACACTTAACGGTTTAAAACGCGAAATATATTAGTAAACTTATTTGTCATTAAAATACGCTCCGTCATCAGTCTTTGCAACTGCAAAGCATCCTAAATATCTGTTTCTGAATGTGTTTTATTTTCGGTAGTGTTTTTGTTCTACTTACATAATATGTGTGTACAGAACCCTAAATGTAAATGATTGCAGTAATTATTCGCATGAATTTTCGTCTTCATATCCTGATTATAATGCTCACCAATTAGATGTTTAATTTTAATTGTGCCATTAATTTTATCGCTGACATTGAAGGGTGATAGTTCAATGTCTTCATTCGTTTTAACCCGCAGTCAGGTTAATGGTACGGAACCGAAGTTAAACCCCTGGGTTCCGTACCCCCTTACACGAAGGGTAAAACGGAACCCCATTGATCAGAGTCCGCTGTCCTTCTGTCCGTATGTCATTTGATAGAGATTTGAATTTTATTCTCTTGTTTTCCAACTCTAATCCGACTCGCACTTGGCCGTTTCTGGTATCAAAATCTTAGATTCAATAAAGTGCAGAGACGCCTCGTCTCCCAACACAAGGCACTTGATAAGTAATGTTCAGTCAAAGACGGGGCATTGGAATTGTCTGACGATACTAGAAGCCGGGGCTCGTGTTTCATTATGTGCTGGAGTTATGCTCTTTATCGAGCATCGGCTAGTCAATATCTTCGTTATCTGCAGCGAAGTGGGTCGTTACTTTATCTCGACGATACAGCAATATAGTTTTGTGTATAGGTATACACTTACCACTAGGGTAGTAATCAATACTGGCATTATTACATTTTGCCTCTACCTGGCCAGTTTTTTACATATATTTTTTGGAGTATTTCATTTTAGTATTATAAAACTCTAGCTGACCTGACAAACTTTTTGCCATATGTGTTACAAGCTGTGCCCGCGACTTCGTCCGCGTATAATAGTTACTTTGGGGGTCAAAATTTGTTTTTGCAAACCTCCTCCTTACCCGAATTGATTCAGCTCGTCCTTCTTGCAAGTTAATATTAAAAGCTAGACATACACTGTTGTGGTCATTTTGAGATAATTTAAAGAGGAATTATTCTGTCGCACACACTTTTCGGGTAACTTGAACCGTTGTCGCAGTGCACGCTACGTAAACCCCCAAAGATTAATAGAATTTTCGACGTTTTTACCAATATTTTTTTGCTCCTATTAGTCACAGCGCGATGTTTTATAGCGTATAACCGTCCTTGTTAAATGCCCTAACTAAAACAAGAATTTTTCAATTTGAACCAGTAGTTCTTGAGACTAATCTCAAACAAATAAACTTTTCAGCTTCATAATATTAGTATAGATCAAATTATAAACACCTGCATTGAAAAGACAAGATAAATTATTTATTATAATACTTATTATTTTTACGTCGTAGTCGGAAGAATGGCGGTCTAAGTAAAGATGTCGTGTGTGCAGTTGCCATTGTTCGCTTTAAAACAATATAAAATGCTTTTTATTAGAAATTTTCTATTTCTATTAATTGCATTAGTTATTCTAAGTTTTTACTTAGCACGACACGGATCGACTTATCGAGTTAACTAATAAATTATTAATTTTTAGCCGATTGTCGTATTGTTTCCACTAATGTTTCACAATTGTTGTTGAATAAGATTTGTAAATAAAAATATAGTGTCTGTTTACTAAGCTTTCTACTGTAATTCATTTTACTCGTCACACAGGTCGTAGGTTCCTTCAATCAATTTATAACTTCTGAAACATGTTGGACTTCGTCTGGAAATCTGGATATTGAATTTGTAGGAATATCGGAATTCCGTTAGGGTCACGAACCATCCATAGATGAATGGGACGTAAAGCTTCGGTTCCAGTCTGTGGATTGCCGAATATCTAAATCCATAAAAGGTCGACTGCGTATCCTCTGCGACATTTTATGGCTAAGATTACCTCTTTATCATAAAAAAATCTGCACGCTTGGTCTGTCGTTAAAAAAAATCGTGTTATATAATAGATAGAGAAATATCGTAATTCTGCAAGGGCATGAACCACCCACAGATGGAAAAGCCGTCATGTGTTCATTCTCGCTTCGGTTTCAGTCTTTTGATTTCCGAATGTCCGACTCCAAAGTAGTTTGGCCGCGTATAGCAGATGTGATAGGGCTGGGAGAATTCACCTTTTATTCCACGTATTATGTCCTGCTTTATCCAATCATCTTTTAAAAAAAGAGAAGGAATGATTATAAATTAATGAGTTTTCGAGTGATCTCGTTTTTTAAACGTCTCTTTACTAAAAACGCTAGAAGAACCGTT